CTAGAGAAATTACCTTCCAACCCAGAGAAATTCACAAAAAGTTAGTGAAAATTCCCTTCTATACCTTCCAACCCAGAGAAATTCACAAAAAGTTAGTGAAAATTCCCTTCTAGTCTAGATATATCAGAAGGTTTTACTTCTAAACTATTACATAACTTTGATTTGAGTTGCATGTGCATGGCGTGTGCCTGAATGCTAGTGCTGTTCCAAGGTCTTCTTGGAGTTTGCTTACTGTTCTACATTGATTGTATATAAACATATAAGGATAATACAGAGAAGTTGCGTAGTTGGACCAAGGAAATCCTCGTCCACCACCAAACAAGTACAGATGCAGCTTCAAATGATCATGGTGACAACGACAAATATGATACTTCAAGGGAGAATGACGATAGCAGTGCAAAGGTAGAAGAAGAACCCAAATGTCATGAGGTTGCTCATAATTCCGGTCACAACAGCAACAAAGAGAGTAATGGTGCAATGGTGAAGAGAGAATCTGAAGTAGTAGTAGTAGCCCAAGCTTGAATGAGACTGCTTGTGAAACATAAAAATGTGGTTCTCCTACCACAATGCATTTCTTTCTTTCTTTCTTTCTTCTTCTTCTTCTAAGTAGTAAAAGAGGTGATTATTAGATATGTTATTGGGTATTATAAAGGTGATGTTTCTTAATTTTATTTTATTATATGTGATTGGTTCCCTCAATCCGTTGTTGATCATATTTAAATTATTATTTTGAGGGAGTGGGTTAGTTGGGTTGGTTAGTGGTGATGGCTGGAGGATGTTTAGGGAAGGAGTGGCAGCGGAGAAAGATTGAAATACTCGGCCACGAAATTTCTCTGGAGAGAAACAGAGAATTTCTCTAGGTTGGAGAATTTCTCTGGACCAAAATTTCTCTAGACAGAATTTCTCTGGATCAAATTGAGGGACCTTAGACATTATGAAAATATTAGATGTCCTTTATACTATAAAGTCTTAATACCAAGGATCCTAAAAAAAAACCCTTCATCTTTTATACATGCTCTTTGATTATATTTTCTAAATTTTTGTAAAAGATTCAATTTAATTGTATGGTAAAATTTTAACACACACAAGCCATATTGGCATATGACCCATATGTGATAAAGTCACGGTTAGCTTGGTCACATATAAGTTAGCCATTCAATTTTTACGACCCTTATGCATGTTGTTTTTTATATCACTGCCTTTATATTTTAGTTTATGTCAGTATTTTCCCCATCTTTTTCCCTATTTTATTCTTTTCATTATTTCACCACTACACCTTTCATACATAAGTCCTCCCTTAAATTTTAGTTTATGTCAGTATTTTCCCCATCTTTTTCCCTATTTTATTCTTTTCATTATTTTACTGCTATACCTTTCATACATAAGTCCTATAAATTAAAAATTAAAATTTAATAAGATGATTAGTAGAGCTCGACTTTGTGTTGGACAAAATGAGTGCGTAAAATCTTTCCATGGCGTATCTAAGTCCACCAACTGAGTCCTCCGATGACGATTAATCAATTCCTTATAAAGGGAATCATTTTATGATTCTTAAACCTTAAAACCAAGTCATAGCTCTTAGTTTTAATTGTTGATTGTTTGGTCATGTAGCCAAGGTCAATAGGGACGGATCTAAAATTATGATTTTAGAGAGCTGCTTTATAGTTTAAAAAATTAGGAGAGTCATTTTATATAATTTTGAAATTATCTAAAAAAATTAAGAGTGTAAATTTTTATAATTTTAAATTATTTTAAAATTTCTAACATAATATATGATATTTTTAAAATTTTTGAGAGCGCGACGACCCGTGATCCATCATTGAAGGTCAATTGTCATGGGTTTTGGGAAGTTGAAATGGGTGGAGTTTGAGTTTGGCTTTACCTTTTGCCAGCTATAACGCATTCACACTCCCACCACAAAATAATATTTATTAATGTTATTAATGCATTATTATTTTTGGTTATTTTTTATGGTGAGGAATATATTAATAATGTTAAAATACATTTTTTATTTTAATTTTATATCAATAATGTTAAACTATATTTTAAATTTTTATTTAATCACAATGTGTCTGTTATTTTATATGTTGATTTGATATTATATTGATTTAAAGCTTGTTAATCCACCAAACAATATTTATTAATATTAATAATGCATTATTATTTTTTGTTATTGTTAATGGTCTGTCTGCTATGGCCGTTGTTGGTTTCATATACACCAAACCAATTTAATCCCAACTAGGCCATCAATTTTCTCCACCTGATTTTATCAACGGTTATTTAATTAGTTAAATTAAAGAAATTTTTATTTTTATTTACAATACTAACCCATGTTAATCTAAATTTGCCTTTTTCCCTAACACTTCTACCTACCGTCACTGCATCACATCTAATTAAATATAACTAGAACAATAATAAATATTAAAAATCAATTTAATTACTAAATAAAATAAAATAAAAAATTGTAGTTGGGGACTTATGTCATTTTGGTCATTGACCTTTCAATTGTGATATATTTGATTATGAATTTTGATTCTCATTACAAATAAGGACAATTGAAGATATCATTTCATTTGCAAATGAAAAATGCTCCATTTTAAAGGTAAAATCATCAATTTAATAAAATATAAACTAGTTTGACAAAAAATTAATGTCAAAAAGTTATTTTAGAATTTTTAAAAATTATTTCTATCCATCAAAGCTAAAATTATATAAAAATGATAAATCTTTTAAATTTTTATTTTTTTACCAATTAATTTTTAGTATGTGTTTAGATGATGATCATGCAATGTGTGATTATTTTTGTTGATATTTTTAGATGGTTATTATGTAATAGATGGTATTTTTTTTTAAACATATATTTTTGAATGGTTATCATGTAATAGATGATTATTAGACTTTAATGTGTAATCGATATGTTTAATATATAAAATGTTTTTAGTTTTAGATTTTTTGATTTAATAACGACACCAAATTGTCGTTATATTTGACTTTTGAAAAAATAGAAACTAATCTAATGAAAATAAATGTCAAAAAAATAATGATTAAAAAAATTATTTCTACTCTCTCAAAAGATAAAATTATATAAAAAAATGTGTTTTAAATTTTATTTTACCAATTTTATTTTTAATTTCTTAGAAAAAAATTCTGAAAATAGATTATAAAAATCAAACCAAATAAATTTTATAACCAAGAAAATGTCAGCATTATTTATTAAAAAAAAGGTCATTACATTTCAAACAACATACAAGTTAACCAACACAAAATAAGTTGTATAACGACTTTGCGATTGAAATGGACCATTTGCAAAAAATAAAAAAATAAAAAATAAAATTGATTGACTTTATTTGAAATTAGATTTAAAATTTAGGGTCAAATATATCACAATTAAAAAGTTAGGAACTAAAGTGACACAAAACCCAAACTATAAGGACAGTTAGTGTAATTCGCCCAATAAAAAACTTATCAAAATCAAATAGAGTAGTTCTACTTACACCATTAGTTTATCTTTTTACACCATTCATATGAAATTTTTCTTTTCTATACATATATATATACTTTTTATTATCTCCTCATACTCATTACTCTTTAATCCCTACTATTTTTTTTTATTCTCAGTTTTTCTTCTCTGCTATATATTTCTTTTAAAAAAATGAGAATCATAATGTTTTAATCATAGAAGAAAGCAATGAATGAAAAACCGGTAGTGGAGAACCATAAAAAAAATGATATGGTGAGTATTTAATTTATTTGGTAGTTTTTCATTTCGTTTTTTGAAAGATTTTTTCGACTTCTATTCGGTGTGTCAAAATCGAACAAAATAAAATAGTCCGGAATCACATTGCCGAACAAAAAATTATGACTGGTAACCCACTGCTGAATAAAAGGTACATTTCCAAGGCAGAACGTTTTTAATTTGTTCAGTTACTTATTACTTTGCATTTTCGGTTTTATTTTTTATTTTTTATGTTTTTTGTTTTTTACACTTGCAAAGATTATATTTCTGCTCATTGCAGCAATGTAAATATAATCATTTGGCTGCTGAACATTTTGAAGGGCATTAATTTGTTGGTAGATTATCTGAGAAGGAAATATCCTCGTTAGTTGACATGTCAAAAAATATGGGAGACTAAAAGAAATATTGATTACATTGAAACGAAGGAATGTTTCTAATGCGACAATAATAAAGACAATCTATAACGCACGTAAAGTGACTGATAGCTGGATAAATTTATTTTAGTTTAGAAACATGACACTAAAGTAATATGCAATCATACAACGCTAGGTGGCTAGACTAATTTTTTTAGTTCAATAACATGACACTTGAGTAATCTAATTTGTATAACAATTTATCATTGAATAGACACTTCACAAATGGGCTCCAACTAATTTCTTATTAAATAAAGTAAAATTATTCAATCGAATGGCAACAAATGACTGGAAAAAAAATAGTTTGTCTAGTAACAAGACATTGGAGTAATTCAAATTTTTTGAAATTATATTATCAAAAACTATCGGTGTAAAGAGACAAAACTAAAAAGATTTTGAAGAGTTTTTAGATTAGGGGAAATTATTCAATATTTTCGGAGTACCATGTGTCCATGTTCTAAGATTACTGAATAATTATCCATTAGATTAGGGTTAGTTTTAATAGTATAATGGGATTTTTTAATGGTACAATAAAATAGAGAGTGTAAAGAGATAAACTAACAGTGTAAGTGGAATTACTCAATTAAATAAGTGAATACAGCATTAATCCTAGGCCACTTTGTTATCAAATTCGTTGAAAAAATTGTGAATTTTAGGGATTGTTTATAATGATTTAAATAAATATATATTTTGATTTTTTTATAAAAAGGTATAGAGCAAAATAAAAAAAATTATATGGCCTAAATAAATATAATTATTTAATTTATGTCAGATAAAGCATTAATTTAGCACGGTAATAGCGCGCCCGCTCTCTCTTATGAGTTGTCATAAGTAATCATTGATATATTTTACGGAAATTATGACATTATACCAGTCTGCTAACCACCACCTGGTTTGCATATTTAACTTCACTCTTCTCTCTCCGTATATCCATATTTATCACATATAAATATAAAGCAATATCTGATATTCAAGCTAAACATTCGATTGACGATTCTGCGACCATTTCAAGAAGATGGGTGAGTTGCCGTGGCCTTCCAAAGCAGAGGTAATTCTGGATCCACACCAAGCTTTAAGTTTTTTATTTTTAATTTTTTTTTGCGAATGTGGTTGATGGGTCACTTTTATTCGCATTGAATCTTCTTCTTGTAATGAGCTATGATCCGATTTCGCTTTACTGAGTTTATTTCAATGCTTGTCTGTTCTTTACCTGATCTAATAAAATTTTGTTTTTAATTTTATCCTACATTTATTTATGCGTGAATGATGGGCTGGTTTTGGTCCCACGCCGGCAAAGCGACAGCCTAGGGTCCCTGAAATTTGTTTAAAAAAAAGGTCCCAATTTTTTTCTAGCTTTATATTAGCCTTTAAAAAAAAAAAAATCCTCTAGAATTCCAAACTAATAAATGGTGAATTATTTAAAACTAATGGATGATTGTTTTTACGAGAAAAAAAATTAAAATTAAAATTAAAATGCCGATTGATATGGTGAATTATTTGAAATTAATAGATAGTTGTTTTCTAAATGTATGGAATGTGTGTATAGAGTTTGATTGATTACACTAGTTAGAGTTGTTTCTGGCAAATTTTTTCTCAAATTTAGATTTGATTAAATCATATCTTGTCATATGTGACAAGAAAGATTAAATGGATTAGCGATTGTATGCATCCATTGTAAAAGCTTTAGTTGATAAGTTGGATTATGCATGCTTAATTAGCACTTTTCTAGCTAAAAATGCGAGAAGGGTGATGTTTAAGTGATATTTTGTTACAATTTGTTCACTTTTTGTTTGATGCTTGTGCTTGGATTATTTTGGTCTTTTTTCTTGTAAACTTTGTTATATATTTAAGTAAATTGTATTAGTTATATATATGTAAGTAACCTTTTTGTAAGCATTGTAAAAAAATATATATATTGTTAAATGTATAAAAGGTCCCATATCGGGAGTTTGCTCTGAGCCCCAAAAATGTCATGCGCCTATCCAACTTCCTAATTTTCATATTTAAATGGTCTGGGTTGGTGCATTTTTTTTATTATTATTGTTATTATTTTTTGAGTTGGTGCATTGTTGGTTTCACATTACATGTGTGTATGTATATGCGTGTGTATATGCATATGAAATATGTGTGTATTATCTATCTATATTTATCTATACTATATATAAAAGCAAGGGTGATTCTATTTACACCATTGTTTTATCTCATTACATTCGTCGTCTAATTACTCCTCCCAACGAAATTTGAAATTTAAAAGGTGTCTCTTTACACTTCTCATAATGCCAAACATAGCCTCATTCCTAACATTACATCTTCTCTTTACACACCTTCTCTTCATTTTTCCTTCCATCCTTCAATCTCTCACTTTCCCTCCATTTTGTTTTTGTTTTTTCATCTTTTTCATCACTATTGAAAAGGATAATGCTGGCGAGGTAAGATATGGAGGGGGTTTGGATGATATTTGACATGGAAGATGACTTTTTTTGCAACTTAACTTTTTATGCGTTCGAGTTTTGTTTGGCCGACCAGGGTTGAACAAACGATTTGTTTGGCCGTCTATGACCAAACAAAGTTTCAGTTATCTACAATTGAACAAATCATATTTGTTAGGTTCTAGCCGGCCAAATGGACAAAAATTGGCAAAAACAGTAATGTTCGACCTTAGTTGTCCGAACAAGCTCAAGATGTTCATGTGTTCGGTGAGCGAGAGCCAAACGGAGTTTCGATTCCATTTTTTTCAAATAGCACGAAATTACGTCAAAATGATATAAAACCAAACCGAAATATCTTTGAACACCAAAATCTTATGTAGAATCTATTTGCAATTATCATATATATGTCTCTACTATGATTTTTCAATTTTTTTACTAGTTATTGTTTTTCATGCTCTTATAGTGGAGGTGTTGAGAGTTGTACAAGGGTTGAGAGAATGAGAGAAGGTGGAGAGGTGGGCTAGTGGAGGAGAAGGGGTGGAGTGGTGGTTGGTGGACAGTGGCGGAGCCAAGATTTCTACACAATGGTGTCAAAACAAGAACAAATTATTATTAGTTTTTATTTTGATAAAATTTGGGAGTTCATAATCATATGTTATTTTACCATTTACATCATATGAACTTGACAAAATCACTCTAATCCCTTTGAGAAAATTTACGAGTTCACTAATGGATGGGGTGGATATCTCGCAAATTTCCTTAGACTTCATAAAAAAATATTAGGCAAAAGTAAATACTATTAAACCGACTGAGTTAGTTCATTGATCACCTTGTACACTTCTATCTGGAAGATAGTCAAGTCAATCCTTACTCAATGTAAATATTGACTATTTTCCTCTTATTATGGAACTTTTTGTTGTGATGTTTATTTCTTTCTTATTGTGGGGCTTATGTTTAGGTTGCTTATTGGGCGAGTTGTTTTTTCCCCATTATGGAGGGCTATTTGTTGGGTTGGTTATTGGACTTCTACAATTGTTAGATTATAATGTAATTCTCTTTATATTATAAATAATAATCTCTTATCAAATTGTCACAAAGAAAAAAGAAAAAAGTAGGCAAAACTATTGAAGGGTAAGAAGTTATGAAACAAAAATGACACTTTCGGATATAAGAAGTTTGCAACCATGCCTTTATTAAAGGTGTCAATCTTTGAAAATCTGGAACTTATATATGAAATATTTTTGATACATAAAAATTTGTGAAAACATTGAACTAACCGTAAACAATTTTCAAATTTGAGTGGTGTCAGGTGACACCACTAAAGTGTATATAGCTATGCCCTTGTTGGTGGAGGAGAAGGGGGGTGGTGGTTGAAAAGGAGAAGAAATGGGATGGGTGTAAAAAGCAATCTATTAACCTGTTTTAATGTTTTTAATCCTTGAAAGTAATTTTACAAAAGGGTAAAACTGTAATAAGAAAACTTAAAATTGGGATGTAATGAGCTAAAATCGTTGTGTAAGCAAACACCAGAGTTGGTGTGGATGTCACATATTTCCTTTTTTTCAAAAATGGCCACTAGAGCAGTTATAATAACAGTTATGCCATCTTCAATTATGTCCTAAATTCAGTTTATTTATTTTTATTTTTATTTTTAGGGTAAATTATTTATAAGTCCTATCTGGAAGACTTATACAAGATATGATCGTATGAAAAAAATTATAACCCAATAGGTCCTGTGATTTTCTTATGGACACATCTACGCCCAATCTTAATTAATTAATAACCTGATTAATGATAATACCATATATGAGAAATCCAATGTTACCATAGATTGTAATCATATCTATATGGTTAGAAATTTAAAATTCAAAATAACCTAATTAATGGCAATACCATATATGGGAAATCCAATATTACCATAGATTGTGATCATTTCTATATGGTTGGAAATTTGAAATTCAAAAAGCAAATGTAACATGTAACATCCTAAACCCAATGTGCCCAAACCCAACGTGACATTCCCATATGCTTTTGAAATTCAAAAATAACTTGATTAATGTCAATAGCATGTATGGGAAATCCAATGTTACCATAGATTGTGATCATATCTATAAGGTTGGAAATTTGAAATTCAAAATATAAATGTAGCACATAACATTCCAAACCCAATATGACTTTCCCAAACCCAACGTGACATTCTCGTATGCTTCTCATCCCAAACCCAATGTAAATGTAACATGTAACATCCCAAACCCATCGTGACATTCCCATATGCTTCTCATCCCAAACTCAACGTGACATTCCAATACTTCACTGTTGAATTATGAATAATATAACCTCCTAAATGTAACATGTAACATCCCAACCCAACCCATGTATTGAACCACCATCAGTGTAACTTCAACATCGAGCGATGGGATTCAATTCACAATCAATTACAAACCTAAATCCCCAATAATTTTGCGCAACGTACTATGAGATGTATGTAAACACTAATTACAACAAAGACACGATACATATTCAAACACATATAAAACCGAGCAAACACAAATTGTTGGAATGTGTCCCACATCGCTTGGAGTTACCCCATTTGTGCTGATTATAAGGCTCCAGTTTTCCTCTCCTTAACACCTAGGTTTCAAGGAGAAGTGTGGGCTGGGCTTTTCAATTCAAATGTCATCTAATACATGTTGTATGTGGATTAATGTTACACACTAAATGTAGCATGCATCGTAACACGATCATCCAGGTCCCAATGTATTGCCATCCTACAACGTGGTTCATATTTGACATCCAATTAACAACCAAAACCAAATACCCCCAACCCAACCCTTGAACCTATACACACCACCCACATATCGAACATATCAAAGTGCATCAACCATCACAATGTCAAATACACATATTCAATCAGAACATTGGCCAAAGTGTGCCTATCAATGAGTGTAATAGATTGTCAATGCCCTATTAAAGATGAACAATCCACACTTCAACAAACAGCAACACACTTCGAAAAAAAAAAAAAAAAATCTCTTCCCCTCGGCCGATTGGAGTTGAAATATGTTGAAGGAATCAACACACAACCCTCAAACTTTATCGTATCATCGACCATATGCACATCCATTTAAGCAACATTTTGAAAATGTGTTGGGATCCTACGATCAAGGCAAAAAAACTCGTACGGTTGTCGCCTGTAGACTTGTCTTTCCTAAAAGCCTTCCCAAACGTGATATGATGAATGAGAAAATAAGGTGCAATATGGAAACAAATTAGGGGTATAATAGTATACTGATATCATTCATTTACAACTCATAGGACCTTATTGAACATATTTCTATTTAAATAAGACTTCAAACTCTAAAAGAATATTCATAGGAGTTTATATTAAATAAGTCTTCCAAATAGCACTTGTGAATAATTTTCCCTTATTTTTATTTTTATTTTTTTAAAGTGTTTCAGGTTTTGATAAAAATGTTTCAATTTTTGGATTCTAAATTCAATCATACATTTCACAATCATATTTTACTAAAAGAAAACGATCTTATGCATACATATCACTTGTGCCACCACTTCTAGTCAACATATTATGACTGCAATGACAAAGTGGTATTTTATGAAGCACGGATACCTCTCCGGAGGTCACATATAGATGTCTGGCACGTGTCAAACATAGACAAATGCAGGACACGTGTCAAACACGTTGGGACACTTGAGACACACTGCAGACACGCTGTGGACCATTATTTAAAAATGTAAAAATAAAATAATTCTAACTTTTTTTTTTTTATACTAAAATAGCATAATAAGGTTGATGAATTTGATGAAATTAAATATTGACCTAAAATAAATATAAATTGTTTAAAAATATGACATATAATAAATATATAAAATTATATGTTTTGCACGTGTCCTTATAGTTGCGTGTCCTGCATTTGTTTTGAAAATTTGTGTCTACTTGTCTGTGTCATGTCATCTGTCCGTGTCCATGCTTCTTAATGCTTTGCTCTAGTGGTTCTCTGGTGTGGATGGGGTTCTTAAGATGTTGTCTTTAGTAGCATGCATGTTAATTAGTGCTTAAGCAAGTATTTCTTTGGAGTTTCTGTTTATGTCATTTGGGTTTTCTGGTATATTTACAGTCACTTGGTTGTCTTGCTATGGTTGTAAATTGTATTGTGTCCTGATCTTATGCTTGCACATTTGAACCATAAGATTTCTGTTATGTTATTATATATAACTTTTCAGTTGGATGGATTGAGAAAGATGGTTGCTGAAATGGCTGGAAAAGGTACTGAGAAAGTCAGGGTTGTTGTCTCCCCTTATAGGATTTGCCCATTGGGAGCACATATTGATCATCAGGTATGCCATGAACTATTCTTTTATACCTTTCGATTACGCACTCTCATGAATACTTGGTCACAGCACTATTCTATATTCTACTACTGTTTGCTTAGTATTTTGAGCTCTTAGAGTGTAATTGCTTCTTTTTGGGAATTTCCTCAGGTTGTGTTTGGATCATGGATTTGAGCAAGGATTTAGAGAAGGAAAGGGAAAATGTGAATAAAATACAAGCTAAATTTTTTCTCCATTTCCCTTTACCTTTCCAAATCTTTAATCCAAACACAGCATCAGAGTATCTGAAGACCTTTCTTTGTGTGCCTACTTTTTTTTATAATAATAATAATTATTATTATTATTATTATGGGCATGAATCTTACATAAAACTTCACTAAAATACCTTCTTGTTTTGGACAAACATGCTTTACATCAACATTGGCATTTGATCTGTTGCAACTTGTCTTGTACGAGCTGTTATATAGTAGTGGCATTTGAAAACTTATAAATTCTCAAATCAAGAACTTCAGAGGAATTTTTTGCATTATTGTTTGCAGGGTGGAACTGTTTCAGCTATGACCATTAATAGGGGTATATTGTTGGGGTTTGTTCCTTCTGGAGACTCTCAGGTTTGAAGCATTTTTCCTCACAGCTTCTTAAGATATTAGAGCATATGGACATCTCATGAACTTATGTAAATATAGTGTAATTTACATAGCATTTACCATGGATGCACAGATGACATATTCACTTAAAAAAAATAAGTAGAAAGGGAGTCATTTAGTGATATGCTGAAGTATTCTTATCTAATCAAAAGCCAAAAAAAAAAAAAACCTCATGTGAGAGGAGATATTTCATTAACATTCGTACAAAAACATAATGGGCCTGTTTCAAAATTTTCATAAACAAAATGGTCTTATTCCTTCAACACTAAGCCTTCCATCAAATGTGCTCACTTTTACATTTTCTTTGGTTTTCAGTTATTTCAATTCTCATCATAATTTAGAGATATGTAGTATTGAAAGCAAATTAGATTTAGCGATCAGCTTTTTAGCTTTAGATTCATTTAGTTAGGTCTGGATTTTACATGAAGATCTGCAGAATAGGCTTAAATGCAAAATTATCTTTTGCTGGGTAATTGACCTTCTAAGGGCATTGGAGAGTGCTATCTATTCTAATATATTCTAATATAAAAAGTGAAGGCTGCTGGTGGTGTTGACAGTTTTTGTCTCATATTTTGGGTTTTCCCCAAATAAACCCAAAATACCCCTATATTTGGAGTTTTTGTAAAAATTATGCAAAGAAGAGGATGAGACTCGAACTCATGACCATGGATTTAATAATGAATACTCTGACTACTTGAATGCTCTGAGCAACACACACAATATATTCATTTTTTTCCTGTCATTTTTCTTATAATGTTATTTATTTTCAAGTTGCACACGCATCGCGTGTGTGGATCACTAGTTAAGGTAATATGAGCAGTTGGTGGGCAAACAATGAATTGGAGCCTTTTCTCCCCCCCATCTCTTAGCATACAAAATCTTGTCCCTTCCTAACCTCTTCCCTTGTCATGCTCCTCGAAAATTCATATCTGTAATCTATGAAAAATAAACCTTTGGAAAACAACTTAGTCTTTGGTTAGTTCATTGGCATTACATTTTCCTTCTGATGGTCGATGGGAACTCTTTGTGCAGGTTCTGCTATGTTCAGGACAGTTTAAAGGAGAAGTTAGGTTCAGGTGAGGAGCTCATCTATCGGACTTTGTCTTTTGTTATTTCCTATGTCTCAATTTTAATGTCTTACGGCAGTGAAAGCTTGGTGATGATAATTATCCTCTATTTTTTGGGTGCTAGATTCCTCTCTATGTATCTAATCAGGCTAAGCCATTAAAGCAAGGGCTTTAGGCCCCATTTTGTGAAGAATGCCCCCAAATTTAAACAAATGACTATTAGATGTGTATTTCTCAAAAGGTTATCTTTGAAAAAGGCCTCCACACAATTAAAAAAAATAATACATGTTATAAATATTAAGAAAAAAGGCCTCTACCAGTTTGTTGCATATTTGTAAAAAGCATCCGCTCTATTATTTTTTAGAAGATCCACATAATGCAGTATGTTAATTTAAGAAGACTTACTTTGCAAAAGGCCTCCATCAACTTAAAATAGGTTTTACAAGTTTAGTCTTCAATTTTCACTTTTTTTTTTTTCCATAAGCGAAGTCTTCACTTTGAATTTAGAAAATCTATTTATTAGATAGCTTACAGTGTTCATTTCTTTCCATTTCATAGCCCTCATAATGCCTTTAAATAACTCCCAAGTTTGTTATCATAAAAATTGAAGAGAAAATAAATTATACTATAAAACTAATATGATTTAAATAAAAGGAAAGCCTCCAATTGAAATTTCGCCTTAGGCGCTGTGGAGGGTTGGGCCGTCTCTGTACCTAATTGAAAAAATTTAAGCCTACAAAAGTTATAATATCCAATGATGCTTCTATTGATAAATTTGGTAGGAAAGTAAAATTTATATATGGAAACTTGAATTTAGCAAACAATCACCCCTGATGCTTCTATTATCTTGATGTACATTGATGTGTTAATGTATTTGTAAAAATATATACTACCTGGGGGTATAGACATTATGAAATGTCAGAATACCTTAGAGTTTTGCAAATTTCAACCAAGAATCTTTGTATTCTTGTTCATGAGAAAAAATGTATCTAATTATATGTTATGATTCAGTTTACCTCTTATAAGAGTTTACCTTATAGCCAATACTGATATGGTAGTGACGCTGGTTCTATGTAAAATGCCATAGTCTGATATTACCACGGACATTCCTTTCCTTTCTATGGGAGAAACTTTTGCTGTAGGAATTGTTTTTTTTCCAAATCCATCAATTTAATCTAGTTTTCCATTGATGGTACCTGGCAACAGTATTTCTCTCAATAACTTTTCCTAATATTTCAAATTGAGTTTAGTCTAGTTTTCCATTAATAATACTTGTCAACAGATCTCTTTAATATTGTTTCTTAATATTTTAAAGAAACTAACATGCAATGAATTGTATAATATTATTTTCCTAAACTTTTCATTGAGAGACTTGAGTGATTATTGGGGATTTTTTTTTTTTCTCTAAGTAGTTATAAATTAAATTTTTAGACAAGTTGGAATACAGTGGCTTTTCCATTGATTTAATTTAAGTGCCTAAACCACATGCCTTATAAGATGATTTTCTGAATTTTTGTTTTTGTATTTTGTTTTTATTTCGCTTTTTATCTTACACTTCTTGTTCTTTGAGCAGAAGGAACCCTGATATGGTGATTCTTCACAGTTCATCGCTAAGCATTTTTTTACCTTATTGTTTTTCATCTCTGAGCAGAATGTCCCTTCTTCTCCTTCCTTCGCATTGATGATTGACATATATAAGTTTTGTTCTTTTGCACTTATTTAGATGCTTTGTTTTTGAAATCAAATCATTTGGTAACCTTGAGTATCAACAGTGTAGATGAAATCAAGCACCCAAAGCATTTTGTCAAGGAAAATGACAAAATCAATGGAAGTGGTTCATCTAAACAACAGGAAGAATGCAATTGGGGAAATTATGCTAGAGGTGCCATATATGCACTACAAAGTAGAGGGAACCATCTCACCCAAGTAAGTAATTCTTTCATGTTTTGTTTGTATGGATTTCAATGTTAGCTTCTGCTGATATTTGTTGAATAAAGAAATTAGAGTACATGGGATCTTTTTATTTTTAGTATCATGTATATAATCTGTGATTGTGTCAATCACTGATTTAGTGTCTTATTTATATTGTTTCCTTGTTTATATCGTTTCTTAAATTGTATCATGAATGTATAATGTATACATGGCCTTTACCTCATTCTTGGGTAAGCCAAATCATTCTTTTCATCCTTTTTGGTATCAAAGCCAGAGCACAGAAATCCTAGTTCTCTGCCTAGCCATTGTCGGCACCTCTGTCCCCCTACCCAACCACTGTTTTATCTTCTTCCTTCCTCCTTGAGTGCCAACAGTCCCCTTCAGCCCTTTATTTCACCCAACAGCCCCAGCTAGCCAGCCTAGACCCCCCCGAAACCACCTACCCAACACTCTACACCCCTCAGTAGGCTGCCCTAGTGCTGCCGAGGGTCTTGTTGGCTGCCGACCAGGCTATTTCTTGGCCATAGATGCTTCGGCAGCTCTTTTAGGGCAATTCAGTCTAGGGATGGCAATGGAGGGCAATGGGGCGGATATTAATTCCCCATCCCCATTCCCCTATTATAATTTTTCCCCATTCTCCATTCCCCATCCCCATGGGGACTATCCTCTCCATCCCCTAATGGGTTTGGGTTTTCCCCAACCCAACTTGACCCTATTTTTTTTTTTTGGTTTTTTCATGGTTCACAGCCAAAGCCAAATCAACATTCACTTTTTATTTATTTATTTATTTATTTATTTTTATTTTTAATTCAACAACAAAATCAAATACATATTAATTAATTAATGAAAAAACTTATTTTAAAGTAATTAAATTTATAATCTTTAAGACAACCAAACAAGTTTCAGTAGCTGCAATCATCAAAGAGTCATTGCTTATCAAAGAGAAGCTTATGGAGCAGAACATTGCTTTACAAAGGTCTAAAGAACTGGCCATGAATGCTAATGAAGCAATGTGTTCGTTTTGGGCCGTGATGAGTCGAGAAATGATCAGGCCAAGCCAATCAATCGCTGCGATTATGTCAGTTCTTCAGATAGAGAATTGGGTGTCAGAAGAACAGAGGAAGATAGTTGATGCCATGGCAAAGATGGGTTTACTGCTGTCTGGTTGGATTGAAGTTGAGAGTGTGAGAATGAAAAGCTAACTGTAGATTTCCGGAAGGAGATTCGGGTCGGAGACCTCAGATCTGTTTTTTCTCTCTCTCTCTCTCTCTCTCTCTCTATCTCTCCCTCCTCTGGTGATCTCGTCCACCAACCAGGAGTACGTCGGATCGGCGTTTTCGATGTTGCCGTCTCCGAGATCACTTCCTTTGCCGTCGTTCTTCAATAAGAAGCAAGTCTCGAAGGTCGCCGTCGATGGCGACTCCGCCACCAAAGACCTCCAGTGACTTCTCCAGTTGGACTGAAGCTAAAAAACGGGATATGGGGAGATGGGCGGGTACCCATCCCCGGCCCATCCCCGATGGAGATTTAAACAATATCACCTACCCGACCCAACGGGTACAAAAAATGGAGAAACTCCATGTATATGGGTTGGGTTTCCATGGATATCCATTGGATAGGTTATCCATTGTCATCCCTAATTCAGTCCTTGTTTTTTCCCTTTCTAGGGTGTGGTGTTGATGTATTAAGCACTTTTTGACTTTTTTTTTATTTTTTTTTAACTTAGTGGACTACCAGATTTGTTTGGTAGCATTTATTTGGACTAGCCGTTGAGTTTTTTCAGGCTTCTTGTATTTTTCTGGACTGTGTTGATGTGATTTTGTGTTTTCTAGCCCTTACTAATCCACCATGACTGACACATCCCATGTTGATTCTAATATGCCCACTAAACCTATACCAGTGACTTCTGATTTTTCTTTCTTATCATACTCCAGTTAATCGCATTACGAGTGGGAAAGGCCCATTGGCTCTCATCTTCTATTCAGCTTGCAGCGACTGATCCTACACGTGCCCAGTGGGATATAGATAATTGCACTATTTTAGGATGGATGTTTAACTCCATGGAGGACCATATTTACCACATATTTCTTTATTGCGACACTGTTTCGAGTCTTTGTTGTGCCTTGTCTCAGATGTATGCCCATGCTCATAATGATGCTCGCATCTTTGAGCTCTATCAAGACATTGCTCGTGCCTCGCAGTCTGCTTTGGGTCTCTCTATGTCAGAGTTCTTTGGATACCTTCAGGCTCGTTGGGGAGAAATTGGCTCAATATGAGCCCTTGACTGAGTTACCAGCAGATGCCGCTGTTTGTGTCCGACTGCCTTGCCCGCCATCACACTTACCAGTTTTTGATGGGTTTAAACTCTGAATTTGAATCTCTTCGAACTCAGATTTTAAACACATCGCCCATGCCATTCCTCAATGAGGCCTTTGCCACCATTGCTAGTGATGAGCTTCGTCTGCGTCTGGTTTCGTACACCAATACTCCAGTGACTCCTGTTTTATCTGGCTAGATGGCCCTTGCCACAAACTCTGGTTCCTGGGGTTCTACTTGTTCAGTTACCTGTCATCATTGTGGGGCTCTTGGTCATGTCAAGGCTCGCTGCTTCAAACTTTATCCTGAGTGAAGGCAACGATCTTCTTGCTCTCATGGTTTTAGCACACCTTGCACTGCTGCTTTAGTGGAGGCCTCTCGTGCTTCTAGGTCTTCGAGTATTCCTATTTTACAGCAGTTACTGACTCAAATTGGCCAACTTCAGACTCAACTTGGGACTTTGACTACTAGTTCTTCTAGCCCATCCTCCTTTACTACTGCTACTCTTGCTATAGGTACTTCTACTACTTTTCATGTTCGGCCTGTTGGTCCTTCACGGGTGAGTTTTCCTTTCTTGCATCTCCAGTGCCTACTATTATAGACCAATCTGTTTGTCTTGTTAATGGGTCTTTCTCCTTAGTTCGTCATAAGGGTCAAGTGTCTTTATCTCCTGATATTCCTTTATCCTCTGTTTTGCATATTTCTAATGTAAATCCAGTATAACGCAGTTGGTAAAAATTTCAGATCATACCTTAGGTGATAGAACCTGAAGCGAAGAATCTTGTGAGTAAATCACGTGCTTCATATATGCGAACAATGAACACTTAGCAGTGGAGTGATACCACAATATGAGTATCACCCACACAAGTCACAGTGCAAAAAATTTGATCGTTGTTTTAATGGGAGAGAGTCAGTATGGGAAAAATCATTCGTTATTTGATTCATACCATATCCCATATAACGTATCAGATATATAGGCTAAGTATACCATCTATCCATATCAGTTGATATGATAGATATAGATATTATGAGTGGGTTATCCAAATAGGTTTTGAATTCAAATTCAAACTTTCATGGATAAGGTTCAAAAGGGTCATGGGTCATCCCACATGCCACATGGGCGCACAATTTCTAACATCTCCCACTCGCACATGAGTTGGCATGACACTGTCACGTCGTTATCTCAATCTCCCAAAAAAAAATGAACAATCTCATACTAGTCAATGCACCGTGCAACCGCTAAGAACACCTGAATTTGGGAGCTCTATACTAGAAACTCAATATGAGTCAGCATAGAGACATCAACCCAAAATGAACAGAAATAGTGTCTCATGTACCCAGACCCATCTAGCTACATCGGTCCAAAAAACATCTCTAATCCCTTAAAGAGCATGTTTGACCCTCCTAGGTCCCGCATTATATTCACACCCAATCAACATCCCATAGAGAGCGATGTGAGTTGTCGACAGTGAATATAGAGCAGAGATGTAGAACTAGATGATCTTCACTTCACCCTCATATCATTTAATTTGAAATTGACCGCTTTCCTAGTAATGTCCCTTAAAGCGAATCATACATGACCACAGGCAACATATCAAAGTAGCTGAACATCAACTCCTTATCTTATGACATAGTCAAAGATCACAAAAGGCACAAAGTGAAGTCATTTAGGAAAAAATGGCTTTTAGGACTCACACCGTGAAGAAGCAGGGATCCATTCTTTCACCTCGCTGACGGGTCGATAAGCACATGCAGTACAAATGCATGTTATAGTGGAGTAACTCTTCCAAAGAGTGATGTTAAACTCACACACCATACAAATCTTAGTCTAGTCGCTTTGAAGCGCACAAGTTGCTTCCTAGCGTCTAACTCGAATTCTCTATTTGCTCGCTTCTTAGGCATCAACTGATTTAGGAAAAAATGACTTTTAGGACTCACACTGTGAAGAAGCAGGGATCCATTCTTTCACCTCGCTGACGGGTCGATAAGCACATGCAGTACAAATGCATGTTATAGTGGAGTAACTCTTCCAAAGAGTGATGTTAAACTCACACACCATACAAATCTTAGTCTAGTCGCTTTGAAGCGCACAAGTTGCTTCCTAGCGTCTAACTCGAATTCTCTATTTGCTCGCTTCTTAGGCATCAACTGAGATCTTGGATCTAGCTATCCATAACAGGCACATCATGGAAAAGTGGGTACTCTCATATCCATGGTCGGTCTCTAACAAGATCTCATCTTGGCTCCAACCAAGGCGACATGGCTAGTGGATAATTTTAGCTTCTCTATTTGCTCCAAATACAATAAGCCACTAGTCTCATCCTTGCTCGCTACCTAGCGCTAAGGGTGATTGCTCATGTGAGTGAGCCAATCTTGCCTGCTAACATTAATTTATTTATTCTGCGTATGCTAATTCACAAATCATTGCAAAAAGTAGTAAACATAAATGTGTAATAGAAACAAATATGAATACTAATGGCATAAATGTCCCAAAAAATATGAGTTTCAACTGAATACACATATATATATCACCACCTATGTAGTCCTAAAGCCCTAACATGAGTAAGATAAACATCTCTAGCAATGGGTTTAGTCAAAGGGTCCGCAACCATGCGACTCGTAGGGATGTGCTCTCGGATCACGTCTTTTTGCGCCACAATGTCTCTGATAAAATGGAACCTTACATCAATGTGTTTGGTTCTCCCATGGTATTTAGGATCCTTAGCATAAGCGAATGTAGCCATGCTGTCACAATGGATAGTCACAGGGTCAGAAGTGTGTGACAATGTCCAAATGCTGAAGTAATCTCCTCAACCAAACGGCTTCCTAAACGGCAGATGAACAAGCCACAAATTCAGCCTCCATAGTCGATAAGGCGATACAGGATTGCTTCTTACTGCTCTAAGAAATAGCACTATCGCTAAGCATGAAAGCATATCCTGAAGTAGACTTACGCTCATCTAAGTCTCCTCCCCAATCAGCATCACAATAGCCAACTCGACGTAGATTTGAACTTTGGTAGCAAAGTGTGTAATTTGTATTCCCTCTAAGATATCGTAATATCCTCTTAACTGCTTTCCAATGAGTTGGTCCTGGGTTGGATTGGTAACGACTCACCAATCCGACTGCATAACAAATGTCAGGACGTGTACATATCATAGCATACATCAAGCTTCCAACAGCATTTGCATAGGGAACACGGGCCATCTTTTCATTCTCTTCTAGAGTCTTAGGACCCATATCAAGGTTTAGGCTCTCGCCTTTCGCAGCAGGAGTGTCAGTGGGTTTGTAGCTCTGCATCTGGAATCGCTCTAGGATAGTTTTAATGTAAGTTTCTTGAGACAAACCAAGAAGTCTCCTAGAGCGATACCTGAGGATCTTAACACCGAGCACATAGCTTGCTTCACTCATATCTCAAATGTAGAGAACAACCACCTTTTAGTGGTGACAATCATCTCTTTATCATCTCCAGCCAATAATATGTCGTCTACATATAATGACAATATCAGAAAAATGTCCTTGGACCGCTTAACGTACGCACAGTGATCTTCATCGATCATCGTAAACCCATTAGAAACAATGGCTTGATGAAATTTCAGATTCCACTGTCTGGATGATTGCTTTAAGCCATAAATAGATCATTGAAGCTTGCAAACTTTGCGTTCCTGACCTACTACCACAAAACCTTCTGGTTGATCCATATAGATCTCTTCATCCAATTCTCCACTGAGAAATGCAGTCTTAACGTCCATCTGATATAGCTCTAAGTCCAACTGAGCTACTATGGCTAGAATTAGGATTTTTGACTTCTTCAGGTATCTCTTTGTTTGCTTGGATTTTTGACTCTGGTGCCTCTCATCGTATGACTCCCTATCTCTTCTTACTTCAAAATTGTACTCCCCCTCTCTCTCCTATTATTGTTAATGTTGCTAATGGATTTGGTATGTCTGTTATATCTGTTGAGTCTATCTTACTAATTGCTATGTCTGCTGTTTCTATTCCATCTGTCCTTTATGTTCCTCTGTTATCTGTCAGTTTATTATCTATCAGTTAGCTTGATGCCTCCGATTTTGATGTTATCTTTTCTTCTTCTACCTATTCTGTGCAGGATCGGATGTCCAGGCAACAGATTGGGACTGGCCGTAGAGACCTCTATGTAGTGGAGAGCTTGCATCTGCCTATGACAACCTCTCAAACTTCTTTTCTCTTTTCAGTTAGATTCTTTGTCCAGTCCTTTCTACTTGTGGTACTCTCGATTAGGGCACTTGTCTGCTGATCGCTTACGGTCTTTAGCTCAGTCAGGTATATTGGGTAAATTTTCTCCTAGTGAACTTACTGAATGTCGGGGGTATAAACTTGCCAAAATGACAGCCTTACCTTTTCGTAAAAGTACTTCTATATCTGATATATTGTTTTTTTTAGTTCATACTGATATTTGGGGCCCTTCTTTTGTTTTCACCAAAGAGAGTTCTGCATACTATGTGTTATTTGTTGATGACTGCATCCATTGTACTTGGGTTTATCTTATGACTCATAAGTTCGATTTCTATCAGATATACCGTACCTTTCAGTCTATGATTACTACTTAGTTTGGGTCTACAATTAAAGTGTTGCGGTCTGATTTGGGTGGGGCATATTTTAAAAATAAGTTCTGTGAGTATTTTGCCAATTTGGGTACCATTCACTAAACCTTCTGTATAGATACACATGCCCAAAATGGTTGAGCCAAGCGTAAACACCATCATCTCCTTAAGACCGTTAAGTCTCTTCTTCTCTCTGCCTCAGTTCTGACTCCGTTTTGGGGGGAGGCAATTCTTACTGCTGCTTTTCTTCTCAACCGCATGCCTACTCCCCTTCTTTCTGGTCGGTCTTCTTACGAGGTTTTGTTCTTCCAAATTCCTAATTACTCATTCATTCGCGTGTTTGGGTTTGCCTGTTTTGTCCTTCTTCCCCGCGAAGATCAGATCAAACTTAGTGCCCGGTCTGTCCTATGCGTATTTTTGGGTTATAGTCCTACTCAGAAAGGCTATCGGTGTTACGACCCTATTGTCCGTCGTCTTTATGTCTCCCGTCATTTTTCTTTTCTCGAACGTCTGCCTTACTTTCAGCTTCCTTCTATCACAACTCCGGTTTCCAAAGAGGGCTTGGTTCACATTGGTCCATTTCCTTTTGAGATCCCTCCTGATGAGTACATCTTTACTGTTCCCCATGACCTTACTCCATTCTCTTCCGTCTCCCCAACCTGCTCCGCGTCATCCTTCAAATAGTTTGGGTTGGTGTAATATATGTTTTTCTGCTTCCTATCGTACTTTTTTGTCTGCTATTCATTCTTTTTAAGAACTTCAGTCTTACAAGGAGGCCTGTTAGGATCCCCATTGGATTCAAGCTATGGAGGATGAGTTGTCTGCTTTACAGAAAACTAGTACTTGGGAGTTGGTTCCTTTGCCTGTTGGTAAGAATCTGATTGGTTGCAAATGGGTTTACAAATTCAAGACTCATTCTGATGGTTCTCTTGAGCGTTGCAAAACTCGTCTGGTTGCCAAAGGTTTTTCACAGGAGTATGGTATTGATTATTATGAGACCTTTGCTCCTGTTGCCAAGATGACTACTGTCCTACTTTGATCTTTGTCGCTGCTGTTCGTTCTTGGCTTCTTTTTCTGATAGATGTTAAGAATGCTTTTCTTAACGGCCACCTCACCGAGGAGGTTTACCTGCGTCCTCCCCCTGGCCTTCACCATTCCTCTGGACAGGTTTGTCGCCTTTGGCGTGCTCTATATGGTCTGAAGCAGTCCCCTCATGCTTGGTATGATCGCTTTCAGATTGATGTTACTGCGCTTGGGTTTCATCCTTGTGCTTAGGACTCTGTTTTATTTCTTCTCCACACCTCTGCTGAATTTGTTGCCTTATTACTGTATGTGGATGATATGATCATCACTGGCTCTAACTCTTCTGCTATCTCTGAGGTCAAGCAGCATCTTTTCTCATTGAGGTAGCTTCTTCTCCCAAGGGCACTTTCTATCTCAGGGCCAAGTATGCTAATGAGGTTATTCATCGTGCCGGTCTTACTGACACTAAGATTTTTGATACCTCCATTGAGCTTAATGTGAAGCTCACCCCTACTGATGGTGTTCTTCTAGATAATCCTACTTTATATCTCAAGCTCGTGAGTTGCTTAGTCTATCTGACGGTTACTTGCCCTAATCTTGCCTATGTTGTTCATGTGGTTAGTCAGTTCGTTTCTACTCCTTGTTCTACACATTGTGCTGCTTTGGTTCGGATTCTTCGCTATCTCCAGGGTACTGTTTTTCAGAATTTACTGTTGTCTTCTACTTCCTCTTTGGCCTTGGTACCTTATGTTGACTCTGATTGGGTTGGTGATGTCACTAATCGCAAGTCCACTTCTGGCTTCTGCATGTTTCTTGGTGATTCCTTGATTTCTTGGAAGAGCAAGAAACAGAATGTTGTTGCGCATGCCACTGCTGAGATTGTTTAGCTTCGTTGTCTCTTACTTTCTCCATGTCTGTTACAAGACCTGAGTTCAAAGAGGATTTTTGGCAGGGAACATGAGCGCGATGGACTTTATTACTTTGGGGATCCAACGGACCAACCTCCTTTTACCTTACCTAGTTTTCAGACATCTGTTTTGCCTGCTTCTATATCTTGTGTTTTAAATGTTTAAACTTTAGAATTGTGGCATGCACATATGGGTCATGTTAATTTTCAATACTTATGTTAACTTTTTCCTTTATTAAATAAAGCTTGCAAAGATTTTAAGTTTTATTGTATGGTTTGCGAATTATCTAAACATACTCATACCATTTACATATCTCATATGACTCGTGCCGCTAGTGCTTTTGACCTTATACATTCCAATGTTTGGGGTCTGTCTCCTATTCCTGCTTTTTATGGCTATAGATATTATGTCACCTTTATTGATGACCACTCTAGATGCACTTGGATATATTTGCTCCGTCGTAAGTTTGACTTGTTTTCCATTTTTGTTCAATTTTTGCAAATGGTTAAGACTCAATTCCATATAGTTGTTTGGAATATCCGTTTTGATAATGGTGGGGAATATATTTCAAATGCTTTTCGTTCCCATTTTAATTAAATTGGTCTTCTTCAACAACTTACGTGTCCACAGACTCCTAAAAAAAATGGTGTTGCTGAATGTAAAACCGTTGTATTATGCTTGTTGTGCAGTGTCTCCTTCGTGGTATGAGTGTTCCTAAGTCCTATTCGCATGTGGCTATCCTCACCACTGTCTATCTTATTAATAGGATCCCTAGTCGTGTGTTGCAGGGTTTTACCCCGTTTCATGTTCTTATGCTCCACACTACTCTATTTCCTCTCGTACCCCGTGTGTTTGGGTGTACGTGTTTTTTTTAGGATTGGAGTCCCGCTCGTACAAAGTTAGTTGACACGTCTATTCGTTGTGTCTTTTTAGGATATTCTTCCATGTCAAAAGGATATAGGTGTTTTGATGTTGTGTCTTATCGCTTTCACCACACTTTGGATGTTACTTTTTGTGAGGATCTCTCATTTTTTGGTACTAACCCTCCTTTGCAGGCTTCCATTCCCATTACTTCTAGTGTTCGCCCATTCCTATTTTGGACGAGGTTACAGGTGAGGTTGTCCCCATTCCTCATTCTCCACCTTCACCTCGTTCACTCCCCGCGCCCCCTCCCCCCATTGTAGGTATACTCTCGTCACCCTAGCTCTCAGTTCCTTGCTGCCGCCTCTTTGGTCTTTGGGTCAAGTACTTCTTCTGCTTGACATACATCCCCTCCACCTCCTTATCGTAATCTCCCTTGGGAACGACATCCTCCAAACCGTTGGGGTTATTTGAGTAGTACTAATCATCCCATTTCCCAGTATCTTTCATATAACAGGGTCTCCTCTATCTATCGCTCTTTTCTTGGCAAGCTTGAATAAGAGGCCATTCCTCGTTCTATGTTAGAGGCCCTTTAGAATCCAAAATGGGTGGAGGCTATGCAGGTTGAGATGACAACTTTAGAACATAATCATATTTGGGATCTGGTTCTTTTACCTTATGGCAAGAGTACTGTGGGTTTATTCACTATAAGTATCTGGTTGATGGCTGCGTTGAGTGTTAAAAGGTCTGCTTGGTGGCCAAGGGCTTCATCCAAGTTCCTGGCAAGGATTTTGGAGCCACTTTTGCACCTGTTGCCAAGCTTACCTCGGTTTGTCTTCTCATCTCTCTTGCAACATCCCATTCTTGGCCTTTTCATTAGCTTGATGTTAAGAATGCCTTTCTTCACGAGGATCTTCTTGAGATGGGTTATATGGCATCTCCTCCTAGTTTTCGAGCTGAGGGGAAGTATTCGAGGAAAGAATGTCAATTGCACAAGTCTTTATATGGCTTGATACAGTCTCCACGAGCTTGGTTTGGTCGTTTCACTTTTGTTATCATCTCAACGGGATTTGTTTAGTGCCACTCATACTATACTTGCTTCATCCATTGTAATTCAGCCGGTCAGTGTATAGTCTTGTTGGTTTATGCGGATGATAGTAGTCTCACAGGTAATGCTTCTGTTGGCATTGATCAAGTAAAATGGGATTTGGGACACACCTTTGATATTAAGGATTTGGGGAGCCTCAAGTATTTTCTTAGGATTGAGGTGGCTCGCTCACGACATGGAATTTCCTTATCTCAGAGAAAGTACACTCTTGAGTTCAAGATACTGGTATGTTAGGGTGTAAACCTGTATCTGCTCCTATGGATCCCAATGTCAAGCTCACATTAGAGTCTGGTGAGTTGCTAGAGGACCAAGGCATGTATCAACGTCTTGTTGGACGTCTAATTTATTTGACCAACACTAGACCTGACTTGACATTTGTGGTCATTGTTGTTAGTCAATTCATGTATGCACCTTGTACAAAACATCTTGATGCGGTTCATTACATTTTGAGATATTTGAAGATGTCTCATTGCTTGAGATTATTCTTTATAGACACTCCTCAATCTGGGTTCTCTTTTTTCACTGATGCTGATTATGCAGGATCTAAAACTAATCGGCATTCTACTTTTGGCTTCTGTACTTTTTATAGTGATCATCTTATATCATGTAAGAGTAAGAAGTAGGCAATTGTTTCTAGATCTTCTGCAGAAGCTGAGTATCGAGCTACGGCATAGAAAACATGCGAGATTCTATGGTTTCGTTCTATCCTAGTAGAGTTGGGTTTTGAGGAGACTAGTCTTGCCTCCTTATTTTGTGACAACAAGTCTGCTATTATGCTATCCTCGGATTTTGTCATGCATGAGCGTACTAAGCATATAGAGGTTGATATTCATTTCATTTGAGAAAAGGTTCGGACTGGTATTGTGAGTCCATCCTTTGTCTCTTCCTCTCAGCAGTTTGTAGATATGTTCACAAAGTTTGTAGGACCGATATTGCTCCAGTCATCCATTAGCATGTTGCGATTGTTGAATATCTTCACACCAGTTTAAGGGGAGTGTTGAATATAGGAATTAGAGTAGATAGAATTTTTTTATTTTAAGTATTATGTATATAATTTATAATTGTGTCAATCATTGATTTAGTGCCTTGTTTATATCGTTTCCTAAATTGTATCATGAATCTATTATATATACATGGCTTCTACCTCATTTATTGGTAAGCCAAATGATTCTTTTCATCCTATTCTGGTTTGGGTCTAGTTCGACTGCCACCCTAGGGTGGTTCAACCCTCGTTTTACCCTTCTAGGGTTTTTGTGCTGTGTGGTAAGCACCTTACTTTGTCTTTTTTGATTTGTTGGGCTACCGGGTTGTGTGGTAGCACGTATTGGTGTACACCGTTTCTTCGGCTTCTTTATTTGTGATTCCGGCTTCTTGGTCTAAGGTACTCTGTTGCTCTGTGTATTATTATAGGTTGTTAATTATACACTTTGCATCATGACTGAGGTTCCTCGTGTTGTTTTGCTTGAGGACCATAGTAAGCCGGTTGGTTCTTATTTTTCCTTGTCATAACAAACACATGTTCATCGCATTGCTTGTGTTTTGTTGAATGGGAAAATTTTTGCTGTATGAAGTCGTTCCCTTAAACTCTATCTGGGGGCAAGGGAAAGGCTCATTGGCTCTTGTCTACAGAAACTCAACCTGTGGATACTGATTCCAAGCATGGTAAATGGAATATTGACAAGTGCATTATTTTGGGATGGATGTTCAATTCCATGGAACCTCTTATATACCATATGTTTTTTGTATTGTGATACTGTTCCTCACTTATGGTGTGCCTTAACCCAGGCTCATGCTTATAATGATGTTCGCATTTTTGAGCTTTATCAAGATATCTTTCATGCGTCTTAGTTAGCTTTGGGTCTCTTAGTGGCTGAATTTTTTGGCTATCTACAAGCCGTTGGGGGAAGTTAGCTCAATATGATCCTTTGAGTGATTTTCCTATAGAGGTTGCCTCTATTTTGTTCCAAGCAACTAGCTTGTTAGTACACCTACTAGTTCTTGATGGGTTTAACTTATGAGTTTGGATCTCTTCGCATTCAGATTTTAAACACATCTCCTATGCCTTCCCTCTATGAGGCTTTTGCTATTATTGATAGTGAGGAGCGTCGTTGCCAATTTGTTCAGGCTGTCTCTTCCTTGGTTTCTGAGCTGCCTACTTCTGATCAGATTTCTTTTACTGCGAGTTCTGGGCCTCATCCTTTTGCTAGGAAGGTCACTTGTCATCATTGTGGAGAATTGGGCCATGTCAAGGCTCGATGCTTCAAACTTCATCCTGAGTTGAGATAGCGTTTTTCTTGTACTCGTCCATCTGGCTCATCTTGCACCACTCCTATTGTGGAGACCGTCCCGAGCCCTAGTACTCCAGATTTGCATCTCCTTCAGACACAAATTGGCCAGCTTCTGGCACAGCTTGGTTCTCTGATTTATTCTTCTCTCGGGCTGTCATCTTCGACCGCCACATTAGCCATTGGTACTCCTACTGCTTTTCATGCTCACTCTGCCTGTCTCACTTGGGTTTTGGATTCAGGGGCTAATGACCATATGACGGTTGAGCTTTCTTATCTTTTTTCTCCAGTTGTTGCTATAGCCTAAACTGTGTGCCTAGTTGATGGTTCTACTACCTCTGTTCTCCATCGGGGTGGTGTTACTCTTTCTCTTGATATTACTCTTTCCTTTGTCTTTTATGTTCCTAATTTTGCATATAATCTCATCTGTGAGTCAGTTTGCCAAGGCCTTTTATTGTACTGTCATTTTCTTACCCAATTTCTACTTGTTATAAGACTTGAGTTTGAAGAGGATTTTTGGTAGGAGATGTGAGTGAGATGGTCTATGCTACTTCGGAGATTCACCAGTTCAGCCACCACTTTCTAGTTTTTTGGTTTCTGTGTTACATGAGGATTCATCCTCCTATGTTTTTTCTTTTATGACTTGTCTCCTCTAGGATACAACAGCCCTATTAAGTTGTATGGTTCACCAATTCTGCACATATGGTTGAACCCAAAGCTCCATCAAAGAAACACCACTTATTTCTTTGTCTGATAAACTCTATATATTTCGGTAACTCGCAATAAACGGAAAAACAGAGACTTCAAAACAGTTGGCAAGTTTTATTGCTTACTCTTTTTTTTTTTGTTCACAAATGGTGCCATCTATTTATAGGTTGCTAACTGACTTAATGGGTCAGAGAAAGAATAAAGAAAATAATTCTTTATTAAATATCTTACCTTCCAGGAAGTTACCTTATTATCAATATATGTTGCTTTGATTATTTTATTGCCTTTCTACTGACTTCCCCTCACTTTCTAATTATTATATTTGCATGCACAGGTTAGAATTAGTTTTTTTATTACCTTTTCAATTTGCAGCTTTTTGTAGATTTGTCCATATGTGATAAGTTGGTGGGATGGAAGATGGTGGGGTTCTCCAGAGAACTCAATTCTATTTTTTGTTACATTTAAATATGAAAATAATTCAATACATAACAACCCCAAGTTACTATTCACGGCTTGCTGTTTGCAGCTTCTGAAATAGTCCCAGAACAACCCCAAAATCTGGTAACCCCATTCTCAAAACACTGCCTTTCTGTTGCATCTTTTGAAACCTTAAAATCCACGTTTTTATGACCCACCCAGCCTTTAAAAACCAATTAAAATCTGCCCCAAATTCTAAGTTTTCCCTTGTTGTATACTGTACATTGAGTTTGGGCTCACTAGTAGTACGAGAGTAAATCCCCTACTCGTCCTACATCAATCTGTTTTCAAATGAACTGCAGAGAGTGAATCAATGATGAGAGCAATTGCAATGTTTTTTTCCTCAACAAAAACCAAAAGTCACACTCCTGCACACCTTCTAATTAGAGAAAGGTGGACTCTTTTTAAACATAATTTGAGTGTCATAGATGCTGGTTTTGTTCTCAAATATCTGGCCTTTCAAATCTAAATAGGGAGAACCGGAGAAGTGCCACACATAGATGACATTGGCAATATGTCAGTCCTTTATGTGTTTGTTTGGTAGTGCCTCTTTAATGAAATAAAACATATTGAATAGTGTTTTTTTCTGTTGTCTTCTCAATCTGTAGGCCTGGTTCCTAATGTGTGTCCAAACCTTTTCTAAGCATGCCAACAAGCTCTTGAAGTACAGAAGCATATCAAAATTAGAACTTTCTAGATTGTAATGTGGTTCATTCCTTTTAATTCCTTTTATAACCACATTTATGGTGTAACATCTCAAATACTTAGTATAAAAAGGACAATGTGTGGATGTCTCTTCACCTGGAGAATTTAATAAACTATTCCAAGCAATAAGTAGATGAATTGTTGTATGCAGCTTTTAAAATCCATTGAAGGGATTAATTTTAAATCTACACTGCTTGCCATTCCCCCCTAAGAACTTTCAGAAAATAAGCAATCAAAATGCTTAAGGGAGGATAAATACTTCAAAATAATGTTCTATTGGATTTTTATTTAGTTGTGTGATTGTTGAAGCTTACATTTGTGACTATATTTTGCAATTGTTGCAGGGTATCATTGGGTTTGTCTGTGGTTCTGAAGATCTTGATAGTTCAGGTCTTAGCTCATCTGCTGCTGTAAGTGTTTGTAATTCCTCTGCTCATCATCCATTTTCTTGTGGTGTTCTAGCATTGCATACAATTAATATATGCGTAATCTAATAAATCCATGCCAATGAAAGGTATTTTGAACTAGGTCTTTCCTGCTAGGTACCAATCATTATGCTTAGTTAATCAAGAGATTATTATTCCAAGATTGGGCTACATAGGAAATCTCATGTTTAAAATTGTTGGAAAAAATGATTTTATGGTGACTTTAATGTGAAATTAAAGTAGGTCCTAACCACCGGTTGAAGTGGGGTCAAAGATTCTTTATAACAAGATTTTTACACCATAAAAAGAATGACTAAAAACCATTAAGAATTGAATGAGAAATTGTCTCATAAAGTTGGCCTCATGATTCAGGTATTAAGAATAGTGTATACCCACTTATCCCACATTGATTGTATAGGAAAGCATTGATAGGTATTTGTTAAGTGTTAGGGGTAGTTTGGTCTTTATGTATTATTCTTATTAGTATAAGTAGTTGTGTGTAAGGGGAAAACCCTAAGTTTTGAATCAATAATCTACAGAAGCTTTCTCTTGTTCTATTCCTTCTTCTTCTTCTTCTTCTTCTTCTTCTTTACCCACTTATCCCACATTGATTGTAGAGGAAAGCATTGATAGGTATTTAAATCCCTAGTTTTAGATAAGGGTATGAGTCCTTTCGGGCATCCAAATTTTCTGAACGAAGAGAGTTATGGATACTTCAAGGATGGGCTTGGGCCAAAACTATGGTCCAAGTTAGTTATGCAAAAATTGCTACGCGTGTGTGCGCCGATTGTTGTACAAATTGTATAATTAAATAAAAATAAATAAATTCATATTTAATAATTTAAATTACATAGCACGAAATCGTGGAACTAAACAACATGATGAATATAAATATATATCAAATTAAAAGATTAAAATAAGACAAGGAAGCAAATCGAAGCCTGTGTGATACCATAGTCTCTTGAAAACAGATTTGCCGCCTTACTATGGGTGTTGGAGGTTGTAAGTTTTCCGAATGTTTTTTGTATATTAAATTGTGTTTAATACAAAGATTACAATCAATATATATAGCAATCGTAACCCTAATCTGAAATAGGAAATACAATTAATCTACACAATCAATCGACTAATAAGGAAATACAATCAATCTACACAATCGATCTAATATTTCCATAAGTAACATAATATTCTCACCGAAGTGTGTCAGCGTCTGTCTCCCAGGATACGACGGTGAGAACCCATTAACGCAGAAGCACCTTCTGTTTAGCTCCGGCAAACTGACAATGACAACACTTTCTCACACAGGACGAAGAATATAGGAGCAAACTGATTGTATAATATGAGAGCCAAAAATTGTGTTGACAACCAAAGAAGTTGGTCTCTATTTATGCACAAAGGGGGAGAGAGGAGGAGCCTTCCTGGAATAAATGCAGAATTCAATTTCTGCAAAATTGCCTAACTAATGCAGCAAAACTAATGGGACATAAGTGTGTGAGTTACACACTCTATATACACACATTTGTATATCTCTAGCCACTTAATAGACTTGACCCAAAAAATTAGGTTGGTGGACCACAAATCCGGCCCAGCCCAAACCTAACCCATTCCAGCAAGCCTCAAGCCCAAATCCCAATATCTAAGGTCCATGATTCACGGCCTTAAGCCCAAGTCCCAAGTCCCAAGATCCAAGATCCAAGATCCATGATTCACGGCCCATGACCTACAGATCACGGACCCAGCCCGGTCCAATCCAGGCGGGTTCATAAACTAAACTATAATTGCTACTGTTGCTGCTGCTAACGTTGATGGGGATCAGAACCCCGAGACAATTGGCTTGCCAACTTCTGCTGTGACCTTTGTGGTCAATCCAGTTGCCGTGACCTCTGTGGTCAACCCTGCTGCTACTCCTACTTTCCCAGGAGGACGCTCAACCATCATGAGTGCCCGAAGAAGTTCACTGGAGTGAATTTCGAGAGGTGGCAGCAAAAGATGCTGTTCTACTTGACTACTCTTAGCGTTGCCAGGTTTTTGAGTGAGGATCTACTAATTGTAAAAGAGAATGAGCAAGACAAGTAGAAGCTCATGGCTCTAGATGCTTGCAAGCAATTGGACTTCCTTTACCGGAACTATGTTCTGAATGGCTTGGCAGATACACTGTTCAACGTGTTTTATGCCAAGAAGTCGGCAAAAGAGCTATGGGATGCTTTGGACAAGAAGTACAAGACTGAGGATGCTGGGACAAAGAAATTTGTCGTTGGCCGGTTTTTGGACTTCAAAATGGTGGTCTCGAAAATCGTCAGTAGCCAAGTCCAAGATTTCCAAGTTATTCTATACGAGATTCATGCAGAGGGAATGTTGTTGAATGAATCATTTTAGGCAGCTGCTTTGATCGAGAAGCTACTTAGCGGCTGGAAAGACTTTAAGAACTACTTGAAGCACAAATGAAAGGAGATGACAGTCAAAGAGCTCGTTGTCAGGCTCCGCATTGAGGAAGACAACAGAAAGAAAAGGGAGAGTACCTCCACTGTGAAAGCAAACATGGTTGAGTATGGCCAGTCCTTGGGGGTTAAGAAGAAGCCACCAACCAGCAAAAACTCGAAGTTGGGGCCTAAAGGTGGTGTCTCCAAGAGGCCGGTTTATAGGCCATAGGAACCGACTTTTAGGTTCAATGGAAAGTGCTTCAACTATGGGAGCGATGGGCATCAGACGGTTGATTGCCACAAGAAGAAGAAGCCTTATAAGGCGAACCCTCCACAAATCAAAAGTCGGGCCCACATGGCTGAGATGAAGGATCTGTCACAAGATGTGGACGACATGCATCTGTCTACTGTCGTCTCTAAGGTGAACATGGTGGGGTTCATCCCGAAGGAATGAACTGACTCTGAGAAGGAATGAACTAGGGCCACTTTCCACATCGGTGCTGAGAAGAAGATGTTCACAACTTTCGATCCGGTTTCAAACTGTCACGCCCTAAACTTATAAATCAAAATGCATTAACACAATAGGCCGTAAAGGTAATCTCTAATACGGATTTTGGGGTCGTTACACAAACGGTGAGAAGTTGTTCATGGGGAATTATGTGACCTCAACTGTTGAGGGTAAAGGCAAGGTAGTCCTGAAGATGACTTCAGGAAAAGAGCTGACTTTGAACGATATCCTATATGTGCCGGACATTCATAAGAACCTGGTCTCGGGGTCTCTCTTTAGCAAACATGGCTTCTACATGGTGTTTGATTATGATAAGGTCGTGTTGACCAAAAGCGCAGTTTATGTGGGGAAGGGGTATATATGGGGTGGTATGTTTAAACTCAATGTAATGGCTATTATCCAAAAAATGAATGAGAAAGCATCTTCTTATGCCTATATGCTTGAGTCCCCTGAATTATGGCATGGTAGACTAGGTTATGCAAATTTTGACTCTTTGCGTATATTAATCAAGTTAGATCACATGCCATCTTTCAAGATTAATCCAAATCACAAATGTGAAACTTGTGTAGAAGCAAAATTGACAAGGACTTCATTTCATTTTGTTGAAAGAAGTAATGAGCCTTTAGATTTAGTGCATAGTGATGTGTGTGACTTGAAAGTCGTACAATCATGTGGTGGCAACAAGTATTTCATCACTTTTGTTGATGATTGCACTAAATACTGTTATGTGTATTTGTTTAAAAGCAAATATGAGGTGATTGATAAATTTATTCTTTTTAAGAATGAAGTTGAGAATTAACTAAGCTGAAAGATTAAGGCTTTAAGAAGTGATCGTGGTAGAGAATATGAATTGCCGTTTATTAAGATTTGTGCTCAATCTGGAATTATCCACCAAACTACATCGCCTTATTCCCCTCAGTCAAATGGTGTGGCTGAGCGGAAAAGTAGGATGTTGAAGGAAATGGTGAATGCAATGTTGATAAGTTCTGGGTTGCCACAAAACTTGTAGGGGGAAGCAATTCTCTCCATGAATTACATTCTAAATAGAATACCTCGGAAGAAAGTAGACAAGACTCCGTATGAATTATGGAAAGGCCGCAACCCTTCTTATAATTTCCTACGAATGTGGGGGTGTCTTGCAAAAATAGTAGTACCTACACCTAAGCGGGTTAGGATAGGTTCGAAAACTGTGTATATTCATTGGTTATGCATAGAATAGTAGTGTATATAAGTTTCTTGTGTAGAAGTCTGATATTTTAGATATAGACAAAAATACTAGTATGGAGTCAAGGAATATGTCTTTCTTTGAGGACGTGTTTCCTCACCGAACCCGAGGAGAGGATTAAAGTTCTGAGAAGGAACTTGAAGATGATCCTATTGATAGTGATTAAGATGAGGAGGTAGATGAGCCAAGGAGTAAAAAGGCTAGGACTTCCAAGTCCTTTGGTCTGGACTTCTTGACTTATATGTTAGAGGAAGAACCTCGAACTTTCCATGAAGCTGTGACTTATTAAAAGTGAGATTGACTCCATCTTACAGAACTATACATAGGAGTTGGTTGATCTACCCCAGGTAGTAAAGCCTTGGAGAGTAAGTGGATCTTTATGAGAAAGATGGAGGATGATAGGTCAATTGATAAGTATAAAGCTAGGCTAGTTATCAAAGGATACAGGCAGTGAGAAAGCATGAATTACTTTGGTACATATTCACCTATGACAATGATAACATCCATTCGTATGGTGATTGCGATAGCAGCTTTATGTGGTCCGGAAATACATTAGATGGATGTAAAAACAGCTTTCTTAAATAAAAAATTAGATGAAGAAATCTATATGGAGCAAACTTGAGGGGTTTTTAGCTCCAGAGCAAAATAAGAAAGTCTATAAGCTTGTCAAATCATTGTATGCTTTGAAGCAAGCTCCTAAGCAATGGCATGAGAAGTTTGACAACGCTAAGTTGTCAAATGGGTTTAGAATCAATAAGTGTAACAAATGCATGTATGTTAAAGACACTCATAGAGGTTATGTTATTTTGTGTCTATACCTTGATGACATACTCATTGTTAGTAGTAATGATAAGATGATTAGGACTACCAAGAGATTGTTAAACGCTAAGTTTGACATGAAAGATATGACCCTTGCAGATGTAATTCTGGATATTAAGATTATCAAAACATCTGGTGGTATTGTATTTTCTTAGTCTCACTATATTGAAAAGATACTTGAGAAATTTAGTAAATCAGATACGAGTGTGTCTAGAACACGGTAGACTTGAGTCTACACTTGACCAAGAATAATGGTGAGAGTGTCTTTCAGCCAGAATATTCTCGGGTTATTGGGAGTTTGATGTATCTGATGAGTTGTATAAGGTTGAATATAACCTACTCCGGTAGCAAGCTTAGTAGATACACGAGTAATCCTAATGCTACTCATTGGAAGGGCATTATGCCCGTGTTGGATAATCTCTGCTACACTCGGGATTATAGGCTGCATTATACCAAATACCCAGCGGTATTCGAAGGGTATAGTCACGCGAATTGGATATTTGATATAAAGGACTCCAAATCCACTAGTGGTTATGTGTTTACCCTTGGAGGGACAGTCGTGTCTTAGAAATCTTCCAAGCAAACGTGTATATCGAGATCAACGATAGAATCAAAGTTTATCCCTTTGGATAAAGCAACTGAAGAAGCTGAATGGCTTCGCCATTTCGTTAAAGATATTCCATGTTGGCAGAAACTTGTGCTTGCTATCTATATTCATTGCGATAGCCAATCAACGATTGGCCGGGTACAGAGTAATATGCATAATGGAAAGTCTAGATGTATCCGTTGTAGGCATAATTCCATACGACAACTATTCTCTAATGGAGTTGTCTCTCTAGACTATGTAAAAACATCGTGGATCTGCTAACCAAAGCGTTAACTTGAGAGTTAGTAGGAACGTTTTCAAGAGGAATGGGGTTAAGGCATTTAGTAAATGTTAGTGGAACAGAAAACCCAACCTAGATGACTAAAGATCCCAAGATTTAGGTTCAAAGGGACAACCTAACTACGTGTAACATGTGAGTCATTAAAGAGGTAAATCCTCTTACCCATTCCTTTATATAGTGATACCCTATAGAGGTGAAAGGTTAAGCTAATGTTTTTAATAACCTAAGTGATGTGATTATTCAACCGTGGTATAGTGAAATACCTTATGTAGGTCACCTATGTGAGTGCGAAGTGGGGCAACTTCTTGAAGAATTGATAAGGCTAGATTCTTTAAAAATACTCACTGAACCAGACTAGTGTTCTAGGGCCATATCGGACATACTAGTGAAAACAAGAACAATGGTTGGACTAACTTCTATGTGAGGTTTATTGTCTCGGTTTACACAAACGGCAGAACAGTTCAAGACGTCATGTTTATTGGTCAACCAGTAAATCCGATAAACTTTCACGACGAAAGGTTCAAGGCCGATAACTATCTTTTCTGATGCAGAGTTAGTCTGTGTGCTCTCTCTCTGAGTCTTAGTTAAACTTTATTTGTTTTCTTTATTCGGTCAATTTTTATTCATGTGAGGTATTGTTAGAAAAAATGGTTTTATGGTGACTTTAATGTGAAATTAAAGTAGGTCCCAACCACCGGTTGAGGTGAAATCAAATGGGTTTAGATTCTTTGTAACAAGATCTTTACACCATAAAAAAAATGACAAAAAAATATTAAGAATTGAATGAGAAATTGTCTCATAAAATTGGCCGCATGAATGAGGTATTGGGAATAGTGTATAAACACTTATCCCACATTAATTGTAGAGGAAAGTATTCATGGGCATTTAGATCCCAAGTTTTGGATAAAGGCATGAGCCCTTTGGGGCATCCAAATTTTCTGAAGGAAGGGAATTATGAATGCTTTAAGGATGGGCTTGGGCCAAAACTATGGTCCAAGTTGGTTATGCAAAAATTACTACACGTATGCGCAGCCAACCCAGACCGGTCCGGGTCCCTAGTCCATGGGTTGTAGATATTGGATCTTTGGACTTGGGCTTGGGCTTGAGGCTTGAGGCTTGCTGGAATGGGTTAGGTTTGGGATGAGCCGGATTGGTGGTCCACCAACTTAATCTTTTTGGGCCAAGTCTATTAGATGGCTGGAGATATACACGTGTGAATATAGAGTGTGTAACTCACACACTTATGTCCCATCAATTTTGCTGTATTAGTTAGGCAGTTTTGCAGAAATTGATTTCTGCATTTGTTGTAGGAAGGTTCTTCCTCTCTCCCTCTTTGTGTATAAATAGAGACCAACTTCTTTGGTTGTCAACATAGAATTTTTGACTCTCGTTTATACAGTTGGTCCGCTCCTATATTCTTCTTCCTATGTGAGAGAGTGCTGCCATTGTCAGTTCACCGGAGTTAAACAAAAGGTGTTTCTGCGTTTAGTGGGTTCTAGCTGTCATATCCTAGGAGACAGATGCCGACATATCTCTAGCACCCACAGTGAGGCAGCGAATCTGTTTTAAGGAGATTGTGGTATGACACAGATTTCGGTTGGCTTCCTTGTCTTATTTCAATCTTTTAATTTGATATATATTTATGTTCATCATGTTGTTTAGTTCCATGATTTCGTGTTATGTAATTTAAATTATTAAATATGAATCTGTTTATTTTTATTTAATTATACAATTTGTACAACAAAAATTTGGGAAAGGAAAATACATATTTATGGCTCCATGGGTCTCCTCTTTATGTACATAGTTATGTCTTTTAGTGAGAGCCATATATTTGCTATGCGCCTAATTGAACGAAAAGATCAGCTACACCAACAAGTGCTCCTAATGTGCAAGAAACCAAGTTGCTCTAAGCCCTTGGGAGAAACAAGAAAGAAAGTTCAATTTTCAGAATTAGCTGTTATATTAAACTTTAGGTTTTGTAACATGGGTTAGGTTCTCACACTCGTGCTGTGTGTCTTGGTAGACTTGCCATAAGTGTGCAAGTAGGAACACATGCATTAAAGGCTGCCCTCACGGCATACTTAATTGTAATCTGAAATAAAAGTTATGCTGCCTTCAAGTCCAGTTAAAGACAGTCGATGTGGAATCAGGATAGAACTATGATTACTGATTCTTGGCTGTAGGGCCAAGTGTAGGAGTTTAAGTTCAATAAACGTTCTTTGTTAAGCATGTGCATATTGTGTGTGATATTGGATCCAAACTGAGGCCTGAAGTTCTACTAAATTTTGGAAAACATGAATTCTTCAAATCATGCTTTGATATGATCAAAATTATCATGTTATTTATGGGGGAAACTTTAGCATTCATTTTACCAAAGAGATCATCTGAAATGGTTTTATTGTAAAAGCTTAAAACTTTATCATTGGCAGTAACAGTTTCTTGTAACCTTACATGTCTTGTGATATAAAGTCATTTTATGCATCTTACTTTCACTATTTGGTGGAACTCCCTATCAATTGATACTGTATTAAACATCAAAGTTACATGATTGACAGGTTGGAATTGCTTACTTGTTGGCCTTTGAGAGTGCCAATAATCTTGCCATGTCTCCCGCAGAAAATATTGAGTATGATCGGTACGTTTTGTACGAGTCTTATATGACTGAATTATTTTCTCGCCTAGTCAACTAATGAGGTTAGTTTACATTTCCAAAACTATGCTGTAAACTTGACATCATTCTAGAAAACTGAGGCTGAAATAAAAAATGATGACATTATTATAGCAATACAATTTTAACCACTATGATGGTTTTGTGAGATCACCACTAGTCCCAAAAGTTTAAGTTGTTAGGAAGGGGCCCATCAATGCAATCCTATCTTGCATGTGGAGATGCACAACATCCATACACATAGAGAAACAAAATGCTACCATGGAAACAAATGCAAATAGAGAGACTTGAACCCAAGACTCTTCCCTAACCTGAATCTGATATGATGTTAGATCATCACGAATCCTGAAAATTTAAGTTGTTAGGAAAGGGTCCAACACTGCATATTAATCTGATACCATGTTAGACAACCACTAAGCCCAAAAGGTTTAAACTGTCAGGAAAGCAGCTCAACAATGCATATCAAGCTCTCCAATGGGTTTCACAACTAATTTCTTGTATCCAGTCAAATTCTGTACGTTGCAATAGAAATTAACATGCTTGAGTGGAGAATAAAAATTGTCATTTTCTTAGTGTGGTTTCATTATGTAAACCAGATAGTTTTCGTGCATCGCAAGGCAAATTTGGATCCATTTTTCTTTTGCAAGTTAAGCTGGTAATATGCCTCATTCATCCTCGTCGATGACAAATCAAATACCCTGACATCTACCCTGTGGTCTCTTCAGCACACTGGATACCATTAGAGCAAGAACGTAGTGGTTGCCAAACATGTGTTGGTTCTCATTTGCCCTACTGATATTCCCCAACTTGGGAACTATTCATAATTTGTCCCAACTGAATTGCAGAGATGGAGCAAAGGTGTTAGTTTTATCATTTTCCTATATATTATTGTTTTAACTTAGTTTGAGAAATTGGATTTTCTATTTATTTGCTAGTTAAACTTGGGTGTATTGTGGTGCAAACCCAAAAAACTCAAATTTGATTATGGTTAGAAGAGAATAAAAAGGCACATCTTAGTTACTCAACATTATCAATAGGGTCCACATGGTTGAAACTTGGCCTTCTACCCTTAAGGTCGTGTGTTTGAACGTGAGGGAAACTACTTCGTGCAAATTATGGTGGTGGTTAGGTTTATACCCAATCCCCAATCTATCCCTTCCAATTCCCCCATCAAATAGGGACTAAAGTGGGTGTAGCTTTTTTATGTTTTTGTCCAAGCACAGAAAGCCACCTTGGAGTGCTAAATCCCCTTCCAAGGGAAGTCTACATCGCCTCTTTTGACCAATTTCCTATTGGAGGAAGACACAAAAAACAAGCCACCCTCTGCCCCTCTCCAAATCAGAACATCTTCCACCCTTACTTGGTCCAACGTATTTTGAAGTATCCTATGAAAGCCCCCAGTAGACTCCATGTCACTACCCCAACCTGCCCCAAATAGGATGGTGAGATGACCAACCAATAGTCGCGAACTACCAAAGGCCTAGCTTACCAAACAAGTTGGACTCTTAGAATAATTGGGGCGAGTTTTCAATTTTTGAGTACGGAAGCCATTGCCTGCCTATATTGAGTCCATTTGAAACATCCATTCGGAGCAGTGCATAACTATATGAAATTAAAGCATACATTCTTCTTGGATTGTTTTCTTTGCATTATTACATGATCTACATGACAAAATTAAAATACAACACATATGACAAGGCTATACAAAACTAGCACAAGCATACAAGACAGGCTTCTATTCAAACTTCTCTTCATAATCGAACTCTTCACCACCTACATATATGTAAGGGAGAGGGGTGAGCCATTGCCCAGTGAATAGTAATACAGCAAAGTGGTGATTGAATGAACATCAATGAGCTTTATAAATATAACGTTGAAACATAACTCGAACAAGGCAAACATATTTGACTTGCAAACATTACATAGTGATGGACATCTCAAGGATTACAAGGTGCTTAACTAGCCCGGGTACTGGCTAAATGGAACAAGATGAGCTCAACCATAATACATGATTGGATAAACCCCAATTGTGGGACATGATCCAAGAATGCCATCTAAGCACATGATAAAAAGTATAGAATGTTCATTCATAGTAAATCATAGCATAACTTTCATAAACATAACATAGTTTTGCATTTCAAACCATAGCTTTAATAAACATAACTCTACTATACTACTACTCACAAATGGCTCCGGAACGAAGGTGTATCCTCTTCAAAGATTAACCTACACAAAACATAAGCAAGACATTGAAAATATTATAACTTGCAAGTTTTAATCCTAACTCAAGTGTTCTAATCTTGTTTAATGTTTTCTAACCTCTTTCCAATGTTGATCAAGGCTTGATCATAACCTAGTGTGTAAAGCTTTTGATTAATTAAAGTGTTCTAAGTGGCTTAATGCTTCCTAATTCATGTTCAAGTTGTTTAGTGTTTAGACCCTTAAATTCAAGTGTTAGTCAAGGTATAGAAGTACCTAACTTACTTGCGCAAACATGACAAACCGAGTGCCTAAGCCTGATTAAATGTTTTCCTAAACTTTTCTCAAGTGTTTAGTACTGATCTAGGCTCAATTCAAGGCTTGAAGACATTGAAATGGGCTTGAGCAGGGGTGCCGCATGTGCGGGGAGCAGGGGCCGCACGTGCAGTTATTTCAGTAGCCAAAATTGGGCCTGGGAAGGTTGGCCGCACGTGCAGGGCTTGCAGCCGCATGTGTGGCTCTGGGCAAAGGCCTATCTGTTCGAAATTCTTCAAGTACTAGGTATTTCTTCTTCATTTTTCTTGAGCTAGGGCTTATGAAAACTTAATCTAAATCATGCAAAATAAAGGTAGAACATGAGATTATGATCTTTTTAAAGTCAAAAACATCAAAACTTGTAATAATTTCAAGATTCAAACACCAAAATCATAGTTCAAGCTAAGAAATCCTTCAACCTAGTTCTTTCAAACTCTTTTCCAAAAAATTCCTTTTTTTTATCCTTAAAACATGAATTCAAACATAAAAATCTCTTGAAGATTAAAGGGAGATATGGGGATGAGGATTCTGTGCATCAAGAACATCAAAACTTCAACAATCAAAATGATGAATTCCTAGACTTTTTAGCTAACTCTTCAACCTAGCTTAATTTTTCTTACTTCCATCTAAATTTCTTCATTTCTAAACCAAATTAATCCTAGCTTTTCTTGATCTTGGATGGTAGGAGGATCTACTACAAGCTTTAGGTTAAAAATTTACCTTGGAACAATTTCCAGGATGAATTTTGGTTGAAGTCTTGCAAGTTCTCTCTTTTCTCCTTCTCTCTCTCTTTTTCTTCCTCTTTCTTTCTTCTTCTTGTTGGTTCTACTTCTCTGAAGAATTTTCCTTCTTTCTTTTTGACTTAGTTAAGCTTTTGTTTGGTGTGGTAGGGCAACAAGGAAGGTGTATGCATTGTCTATTTATTTGCTTTACTAGATTCCTTAATCCTCATCATTGCCTTAATTAATCAATCTTAGTTATAATTAATCAAGGTTAGGCTCTAATTAATTAAGGTTTAACTTAAATCTTACTTAATTAATCACAATTAAGGTTCACTAATTCTACTTAATTAGCACTAATCATGATTAGCAAAATAACATATAATATTAAAATGACGAGTACATTAGTTTAAGATTTTTAAGGTCCTCAATTAGTGCACATGCACATCCTAGCGTTTACAAATTCTAAACTCAAGTTGTCCCCTAACTCTTAATAATTTTCACATATTTCTATTCTTAAGTTTGTTTCATTAAGACGTGTTTTTCACTTCTAAGTTTCTTGCTAATTGTATTCATCTTTTGATCTCTAGAACATGGTAAGCTAATTTAATCATATATTTTTGTGAAATGAGATAGTCAGTGGAATATTTAATTTGATCTAAGGTTTTCAAATATGGATCTTTGGGGTGTCACACTCCACCTCTCAATCCTAAAGTGCTCTCCGAGGAAACAGCCGTCCAAACTGTACTAGTATGATATTTTCTTCCAACTTCCCCCTTCCCTCCCTTTCTTTTGTCTAGCTATGATTATGACTTTCTCCCTTCTCTGATGGAGTTAGTTTTGGACAATGTATCTTACAATGAATCTTTTATTTTATTTTATTTTATTTTATTTTGATAGTGATTTCTTTAATCCTTTCTTTTTTGCAAAAATAAATATTATTAATCAGCCGTGATTTACATTTTATATATATTTTTTTATGCTACCACACACACTTGTTTGTAGAACTGTAGGTTTCTAAGTCCTTTTTCTTTCTTTCACGTGTAGGCTGATTGAAAATGAATATTTAGGTCTGAAAAATGGGATATTGGATCAATCCGCTATACTGCTATCCAGCTATGGTTGTCTGACCTGTATGAACTGCAAGGTAATATATTTGATCTTGAATGTACGAATGATTTTATTGTATTTTTTTTTTTCTGTTCCACAGTATGTCCTTTGATCTTGTATGGCTTGATAAATTCTGCCAACTGACATTGATTTCACGTTCCTTCCACTATGCTGGCCTTGTTTCTGTAACAGTCAAATTCAGGAGTTATGGCTGGTGCAGTATTGATGCTTATGCTAAGAATTGTTTGCGTCATAATTTAAATTGCCTTGTAGTGTGAATATTGTTAATTGTAAAGTACTTGAATAATTTGATGTACCTATTTGTGTCTTACCAATCTGGAAAACAGAGAAGAGAAAGCATGTATATAAAATAATTGCTTTCACAGGGCACAAGAATGGTAAACAAAGCTATATTAACAAAGGGTCTTGCTAACAAGTGCTGCTAGGGCACAAGTAAAAGATAAAAAACTTGAAGAATGCAAGACACTTTTTACTAAATTTAATGTACTTTTATTAAAATCAATACACTTCTTAACATTTTTACATATTTTCATGACACTTTTTACACACTTCCCAACATTAAACAATACATAGGGGGTGCTTGTACACTTGTTAGCGTTTGCCATTAGCAAAAGCTCCTTGATCAGAAGAAGGCTCATATGTAATTATCAACATATTACCTTCTCCCAAACCTGAAGCAGTCTCTAGTGTTCACACCAAATGCTTATTATGATAGATTTAGAGAATACCAATCTTAGGGAATGATTAGGATATCATCCCCTATTTATATTAATGAATATTAATAATTACAAGGGAGCCCTAAGGCATAGAATAGTTACAAAAATAATAACCTAAATAATAATATTAACCCAAATAATAATATATTATTCTAACACTTCCCCTCAAGCTGGCGCGAAGATATCTTTCATGCCCAACTTGCCTAAGATGCCATGAAAGGGCTTACTCCCAACTCCTTTGGTGAGGATGTCAGCAAGTTGTTCACCAGACTGCACAAAGGGAGTACATATTGTGCCACTAGTGAGTTTCTCTTTAATGAAGTGGCGATCAATCTCAACATGTTTTGTCCTGTCATGTTGAACCGGATTGTGAGCAATGTTGATAGCGGCCTTATTATCACAATATGACCGCATGGAGCCTGTCTGATCGATACCTAGATCAATCAACAATAACTTGATCCATAAGAGCTCACACACCCCTTCTGCCATAACTCTAAACTCAACTTTTGCACTTGACCTGGCAATCACATTCTGTTTCTTACTCCTCCAAGTAACTAGGTTGCCTCCAACAAAGGTGCAATACCCTGAAGTCGATCTCCTATCAGTTACTGATCTAACCCAGTCAGCATCTGTATAGGCTTCCACATGAAGATGATCATACTTTGAAAAATAAAGACCCTTACCAGGAGCAGATTTTAAGTACCTCAAAATTCTCATGACAGCCTCGAAGTGAATCTGACGAGGAGCATGCATAAACTGGCTAACCACACTGACAGAAACAGCAATATCAGGATGGGAGTGAGATAGATAAATGAGCTTACCCACTAATCGCTGATTGCTCCCCCTATCAACAGCTGCTGCTCCTTCATCATCCCCTAGTTTCTGATTGGGTTCCAGTGGAGTGTCACAGGCCTTGCAGCCAAGCATTCCAGTTTCCTTCAACAGGTCAAGCACATACTTTCTTTGTGAGATAAATATCCCATCATTGGAGCGAGCAACTTCAATTTCTAAAAAATACTTTAAGCTCCCCAAGTCTTTGATTTCAAACTCATTGGCTAAATATTTGTTTAACAGAGGTATTTTCTCACTATCATCGCCTGTAAGAACTATGCCATCTACATAAACAATGAGTGTTGTAGTCTTACCACATGAGGAATGTTTCACAAACATGGTGTGATCTGCTTGACTCTGTTTGAAGCCATATTTAAGCATAGCCTGAGTGAATCTCTCAAACCAAGTCCTTGGAGATTGTTTGAGACCATATAATGACTTCCGAAGCCTGCATACTTTGCCTTTTGTCTGATGATCCTCAAAACCAGGAGGAATGTCCATATATACCTCTTCTTCAAGATCACTATGGAGAAAGGCATTCTTTACATCAAACTGATGAAGTGGCTAGTCTAGATTAGCTGCTAGAGAGAGGAGTACTCTAACCAAATTCATCTTAGCCACTGGTGCAAAGGTTTCCTAATAGTCGACGCCATATGTCTGAGTGAACCCTTTTGCCACAAGTCTAGCCTTGTAACGCTCAATAGATCCATCCGCTTGGTGTTTCACAGTATACACCCATTTGTATCCCACAGGTCGTTTGCCCTTAGGTAACTCAGTCAATTCCCAAGTGTCATTCTTCCTAAGTGCTTTCATTTCCTCAAGCATTGCAAGTTTCCACTCAGAGGTAACAAGAGCATCCTAAAAATGGTTAGGAATGCTAACAGAAGAAATATTGGACACAAATGCTCTATAGGAGGACGATAAATGGGAGTAAGACACAAAATTTGAGATAGGATGTTGAGTACAAGATCTCACACCCTTTCTTTTGGCAATGGAAACATCAAGATCAATGGACTCAAGAGATTCAAAATTACCTGCGCTTGGTGTTGCACAGTATACACCCATTTGCATCCCACAGGTCGTTTGCCCTTAGGTAACTCAGTCAATTCCCAAGTGTCATTCTTCCTAAGTGCTTTCATTTCCTCAAGCATGGCAAGTTTCCACTTAGAGGTAACAAGAGCATCCTAAAAATGGTTAGGAATGCTAACAGAAGAAATATTGGACACAAATGCTCTATAGGAGGACGATAAATGGGAGTAAGACACAAAATTTGAGATAGGATGTTGAGTACAAGATCTCACACCCTTTCTTTTGGCAATGGAAACATCAAGATCAATGGACTCAAGAGATTCAAAATTACCTGGACTCTCATCAGAAGCAGGAGAGGGCAGTGGAAGAGCAGAAGTGGTCTCTTGTATCCAGTTAACTTTCTGTCTGTCTTTGTCCCGGACATAAACTTGCCCTTTCCTATCCTTGGTGACATTGGGTTCTGTAGTCCCAGTAGGAGGAGGTGGTGCAAGAACAATGGGTTCCACCATAGGATTCACAGGAATCATTTCACACCAAGGCTCCCCCTGAAGGGAGGACTGGGACAAAAAACCATCAGAGGTGTTGCATGAAGCCAACGAGGCTGTCGGTGGCAGTCAACTAGGCCAGAAGGGCTGTCAATGGTAGTCGACTAGGCCAGGAGGGCTGTCGGCGATGCTGTTATGGATGAGAAGTCGAAGTCGGCAAGGAAGACCCAGATGAGTTTCGAACCCTAGAGGACCATCAACACCCAGTCGAAGGTAGTGGGTTGTCTTCGGCTGGTAATGGCAGTCGACGATGGGTAACAAAACTGTTTGGTAGTCGACGGCTGTTTGAGGAGATGGGTTTAGGGTTTACAGTTAGGCTCTGATACCATGATAGATTTAGAGAATACCAATCTTAGGAAATGATTAGGATATCATCCCCTATTTATATTAACGAATATTAATAATTACAAGGGAGCCATAAGGCATAGAATAATTACAAAAATAATAACCCAAATAATAATATTAACCCAAATAATAACATATTATTCTAACATATTATTCTAACATATTATAACAGCTAAATGTGGTTGGATCACTGATATTCAAAGTGATATCATGAATGTTGTTGGTCAGACCTTTGGCTGTTTCAACATGCTACCCTGATTTTTATGTTTCTGGATTGAAATTACAAAATCATCCTAAGCCTTGTGGCAAAGGACAACTTTTGATCATAAGGAGGTCACTAGAGGGAGGACATGAACCCTCCATAAAAGACCCTCTTTTAGGCCTAGAAAGGGAATTCGAAAGGGAACAAGGAATTCTCAACAAAAACAGTGCTCTCTGAACCGAACGTGAAAGTAGTTTTCCATCAGACGGCTGTTCCCCGTAACTCTACTCTCGACTTGGATTATATATCCAAAAAAAAGGTCTAATAATATTAAATTAGTAAAGGCTGTTCATTTTTGTTTTAATTATTCCAAGCTAATTTCTTTTCTAATTTAGTTTCCTTTCATTTCTTTCATTCCAAAGCTTCAAATCTTCCTAGTTTCCTTTCATTTCTTTCATTCCAAAGCATCAAATCTTGACTCTAGAAGTTCCAAAACATATATGAGTTGAATAAAACTCTTAGAAAAACATTTGCATGCAAGAATTTAAGATCAAAATTAAACCAATCTTGATTTTCAAAACAAAACTATAATTTTGGTTCTTATCTTCTTCTAATTTTGATTTCCATCTTCATTCTTCATTTCAATACTCAAAACCTAATTTTATAAACTCTATAACATGTATATATGATATAAAACTCATAGAAAAATATTTGTTTACAAAGAATTCAAAGTAAATTCAATCAAACACATGGGGTATGTTTGGTTTGCATTTGGGAGATGAGTTTTAGAAAAAAATTTCTAAAAAATTGTTTGGTTTGAGTTTTTTTCAAAAAATTTCCAAAAATCACTTTCTCTCTTTTACACATCAATCAATCACTTTTTCTCTCTCATCTCTCCTTCTTAATCACTTTTTCTCTCACACACATCTACTCAAATTCTCCCAAAATATCAAATCATCCCAAACTCCAAAAAAAAACAACTCTCCCAAAATATACAACAAAACAAACCAAAAAAATTTCTAAACTCTCTCCCCAAAATTTTTTTCAAAAACAACTCTCCAAAATACAAACCAAGCAAGCCCATGATTTCATGAAAAGTTCTTGAAACCCAACTCATTTCAAACTTTCTTTCATTTCTCCATTTTAATTCTCTAAAAATCTCACTCAAATGATTTTATACTTAGATTGTTGAAACAATATTAGAAAGAAGGTGAAATTACTTACCTTACGATGATTTTTCTATAATTTTTAGGCTAGAAATTGATGCTCCAACTAGTCTTTCTTCTTATCTTCTTCTTCTTCTTCTTGAGTTTAATTCTCTCTCTAAAACCAGAATTTTCCAGCAGCTCCTCTGTCTTTTGATTCAATTTTTGTTGATAAAATATTGCTAGGATACTGGTATGTTAGGGTGTAAACTTGCTTCTACTCCTATGGATTCTAATGTCAAACTCGCATCAGAGTTTGTTGAGTTGCTAGATGACCCAGGCATGTATCATCATCTTGTTGGACGTCTCATTTATTTAACCAACACTAGACCTTATTTGACATTTGCAATTAGTGTTGTGAGTCAATTCATGCATGCACCTCGTAAAGAGCACCTTGATGTGGTTCATCATATTTTGAGATATTTAAAAACTTTTCTTGGCTTGGGATTGTTCTTTACCATTGGTCTCCAATCTGGGCTCTCCTGTTTCACTGATGCAGACTATGCAGGATGTAGGACTAATCGGCGTTCTACTTCTGGCTTTTGTACTTTCTATGGTGATCATTTTATCTCATGGAAAAGTAAGAAGCAAGCGGTGGCTTCTAGATCTTCTGCAGAGGCTAAGCATCGAGCTATAGCACATGGGACATGTGAGATTCTTTAGATTCGCTTTATTCTGGTAGAGTTGGGTTGTGAGGAGACTGTTCATTCCTCTTTATTTTGTGATAACAAATCTGTCATTATGTTATCCTCTGATTTTGTACTTCATGAGCGTACCAAGCATATCGAGGTTGACATACATTTCATTCGAGAAAAGGTTCGGACTGGCATTGTACATCCATCCTTTGTCTCTTCTTCTCCGTAGTTGGTACATATGTTCACAAAATCTGTGGGACCAACTCTGTTCCAGTCTTCCATTGACAAGCTGCATTTGTTGAATATCTTCATACTAGCTTGAGGGGGAGTGTTGAATATAGAAATCAAAATATTATGTTTGAATATAGAAATTAGAATAGGAATTATTTTAATTATAGGAATCTTACCTTGTGTATATTGTTTCCATTATAGGAATCTTACCTTGTGGATGTTGTTTCCTAAATTGTATCATGTATATATTATGGCTTCTACCTCATTGATTGGTAAGCCAAATAATTCTTTTCATTCTTCTTTGGACATCAAAGCTTCTTGGATGGAATTTGGAGTCCTCATTTGAATTTCCTGGCCTTCTTATAATCTGTATCGACCATATGTGGCACAGATCTCACTAACTCAGTAAATTGTGCTTCATATTCTGCCACTGATCTGTTGCCTTGCCTTAATCTCTCAAATTTTGGCACCTTTCTATCTCGGATGCATGACGAAAAATACTTCTCATAGAAAATCTCTAAAAATTAAGCCCAATTGATTCCCCTATTTTCATCCCTCACCAACATCCACCATCGACTAGATTCATCGTCCAAGGTAAATGCAGCAAGTATTACCTTTTGTGCATCAGTGCACGGAAAGACTTCGAACAATTTTTCTATTCCGAGAACCCATGCCTTGGCTTTCAATGGATCCACTCCTTCCAAAACTGTGGCGGTTTCATCTTTTTGAATTCTTTGGTAAGAGCAATAGTACGGTCATCCACTTGGTTATTCTGAACTAGTTGTGGTGTACATTGTGGTGGTGGTTGCTGTTGTTGTCGTTGTTGTTGTTGTTGTTTCCTTAGAGTTTCAACCATTCCTTCCATCATTCTATCTAGCCTATCAAGTTGGGCGGAGGAAGATTCCCCTCCATCTAATCTTGTTCTAACCATGATTTATATGAACATGTATTATGATATACACAGAAAAGTATGCACACATATTCACATTTATAGATGCACAATTTATATCACATACCTACAAGATGAATGCAAAACTTAATCCTTTCTAGACATCCTATTGCTGGAATGAATGAGTGTGTGGATAAATTAACTCGTACTTTGATACCACTCTGTCACGACCCTAACCCGCCTCTAGAGGTTAGAGCGGTGACCAGCTAGTAATCATAGATTACCTACTGCCTAACCTGACAGATCACAAAATATTTAATATATTGGGGCCTAAAGCAGAAGCTAACAAACAATAAAGAGTCCATTGAGCACGTAAGGCTAAAAATCCATTTGTTACCTTACATATATATATATATATAAATATATATATTTGTACAACCATGGTTGCCCAACTTATCTTCCATGGTTGCGAGCAATTAACTCGTATCCCACAAATACACCACCATTTAAACTACCCCAATCACATATCAGCCCAGTAATACACATACACTCAATCATGGCCCTTTCTCTGAAACTTTCATTCAGATTGCCAAAGGAAGCCCATTGACTGAACTACATTCTCACTGTAATCATCCTTCCGTAAAAACCGAAGACTCAAGAACAGACCAATTTCAGTTTCAAGCCTTTATTCCAACTCGCTGAGCCTTTACTCCTGTTTCAAGCCCTTGAAAAACCCTCTCTCTCAAGTCCTTTGAGAATAAGTTTTCACAAAAACATAATACCCTATAAACCTTATAAAAAGGTTATTAACCTAATTATCCAAAATTACGAAGTTACCTATATAAGTAAGTTTAATAAAATTATCTAGCTATCCAATATAATAATACTCTTAGCATGTAATTATATATATATGACCATTATTGTTGTTGTCGTTGCGATTCCTAAAATTCTTCCCATAGGGAATGCCTATGTCAAAAAAATTTGCATAGGTGATAGAAAGATTACTTTTGAGAAAATTTGAAGATGGGGTATATAGATTTTACATCTTAGTCTTTTAATGAGTTAGGATTGAACATAAATCATAATGTGGATTCAATGAGTACTTGAAGCAGAATTTGAAGCAATATCACATAAATTTTTCCTTCTTTCTTTGTTATTTGTCTTTTCCATTACTTCAACATTTGTTTAGAAGTGTTTTCACAGCATCATTAATGTAATTTGTTCACTTATTGAATGTTTTGATTTGTATCAACTATATAACCACATTATTCCCTATGAATTTAGTGACTGCTGCAGCTGTTATTTTTATAAGGTTTCAAGTTGTAAAATTCAGTTCAAATGGCTACTCTCAATTTGAACAATTTATATTTTCTGTGTTGTTCTGAGTTGTAATGTTTTGATTTTCTGATTTGTTTCCGTTAATGTGAAACATAATGTCTAATTAGTTTACTCGGACATTTGTAGACCAAAGAACACAAGCTGGTACATCCACCAAAATTTCAAAATCATGAAACTGGGATAAAGAAAGCATACAAGGTATTATTGGCCTTTTCAGGCTTGAAGCAAGCTTTGACAAGTAACCCTGGATATAATCACCGAGTTGCAGAGTGTCAAGCGGCTGCAAGATTTTTGTTGAAGTAAGACCATTTACCCTTATCATTCAAGAGAAGCTTACAGTTGAATTCCCTCATGTTTTTTTTCAAATGTCCCACAAAAACAACACGATGAACTATCTAGTTTCTTTTCTCCAATAAGATTTTTATGACAACCAAATTTGTTTACTACGAAGAAGGGAATTTAGCCGATGAGCTAAGCAGCACGGACAAGGACACAATGCGACATGCACAAAATATCTAGTTTATATATTTATTATGTCATATAAATGAAAATTTCTTTGAAAGACAGTTAAATTTGTATGATGAAACATAGAAGTGAAGAGAAGAAAAAAATAAGATGAGAGAAAGTAATTTGCAGGGAAAGAAACTCACCCCAAGTTAGGGCTTTCCTCACATGTATTTGTACTAATTAGCAGACAAACGCCAAAATACTCCCCAACTCATAGCTTAACACTCCCTCATCAAATTGGTGCATAGATATCTCACATGCCCAACTTGCATGCAATGGGATGAAAAACCTTACTACTAAGCCCTTTAATGAATACATCAGCTAAACTAATCTTCTAATTTCACAAAAGGCATACAAATCATGCCACTATTCACTTTTTCCTTGATAAAATGCATGGCAATTTCAATATGTTTGGCCCTATCATGCTGAACTTGGATTGTAAGCAATGTTAATAGCGGCCTTATTATCACAATACAATTTCGTGGGCCACCACTTAACAATCCTAAGTCATCCAATAAAACTTGAAACCACTTGAACTCACAAATGCTATCCACCATGGATTGATACTCTGCTTCTGTATTCGACCTGGCTACAGCTGCTTGTTTCTTACTACGACAAGTTACCAAATTTTCTCCTACGAAAGTACAATAACCTAAAGTAGACCTCCTATCATCTATTGCACTAGCCCAATTTGCATTAGTGAAGGCCTCTAACCTCAAATGACCATGATTGGAGAACAAGATACATTTTTTGAGTGTTGATTTGAGATACCTCATAATTCAATTAACACCAAATGTCCTTGTCAACATGCATAAATTCACTTACAACACCTACTGCATATGCAACATCTGGCCTAGTGTGAAAAAGGTGTATTAATCTAATCTCCCTACCAGCCTCTAATATGTTCCCTTGTCCACATGATCTCCGTCACTACTGCTAAGTTTGTGATTGGCTCAATAGGAGAATTCGCTGGTCTATACCCTAACATGCCTACTTCCTTGAGTAGATCTAAGATATACTTTCTTTGGAAGATAAAGATGCCCCTGCTTGATCTAGCAAGCTCAATCTAAATAAAGTATCGAAAAGGTCCAAGGTCTTCGATTTCAAATTCATTAGACAGTTGAGTTTTGATCCTATACATTGTTACCAGTCACTACTATGTCATCCACAGAAGCAATAACTATGGTGATTTTATAACATAGATGATCAATATGGCTTTTGCTTAATACTAAACACCCATTTGCAACCCACTAGCATTTTTATTAATGATAGAGAAACTAACTCTTAAATGCCATTCTTGCTTAAAGCTCTCATCTTCTCTACCATAGCTTCTTTCCACCTAGGATCATTGAGTGCTTTCTTCCAACCCTGCAAAATAGATACAGAGGACAAAGATGACACAAAAGTATAATATGACGGAGATAAAGGAATCATAATGTAAGTTTTCTGAATAAATTTGTATATTCAATTGTAAATAATACAAAGAGTACAACCGAGCTATATAGACCTAATCTGAAAAAAGAAATAAGAATAAACCTATATTTTTACAATCAATCTAATATTCACACAATAAATCTAATATATTTACATAATTAGCATAATATTCTCACACGCTCGCTCAAATTCAAGGTGTCTTAGCAGAAAACACTGACAGTTTGCCAAGAAGGAACTGAAAATGATCAGTGGTGTGAGTCTTGGAAAAGAAGTCAACAAGGTGAAGTGCAAAAGAGACGAAAGGAAGTGAGATGGAGTCAAACTACAGATGCTAATTGTAGCTTTCTTTTCGTGCTCCTTTCGGATACGACTAGCCTTACAGTTCGGACTCTCGTGGTTCTGAATCTGATTCCACAAGTGCAATGCGAAATAGATAAACACAAATGAGTCCAAATCCGGCAAATCTTTTGGAAAATCAATTTTGAATCAAAATGCCAAAAATGGACTACTTCGCTAGATTACAGAGTCGCTACCTAAATATTTTGAGAAATTTAGGAAACCCAAGACTCGCGCCAAAGGCCACTTATCCGTCATCATCAAAGTGTTTCGGCTCGGGAACTTAGGTATGAGAGGGGAAGGTCATGAATTGAGCACTCCACTTGCCGGATCAAAGATCAGTCTCTACTAATCATGATGTGATTCTTCTTTATATTATATGCTCTTGTTCCGATTATAGACTAAGTTTACTATGTGACGCACACAAGTGTAGACTAATTTGCGAAAATTGGAATACTTTGATTTTATGTTTGTTTGAAAAAAGTGTTTTGAATACACGTCACTTGAAAAAGTGAGTTTGTATGTACACTACTCAAATTATTTCAATTTAAGCAATTAACTTTCATCCACAGGCATTCAAACAGATATATCACTTAAGCGCTTAGCCTCATGGTATCATGCTAGATATGGAAACAATCACACTCATGCGATATGCTAAAGTAGTAAAGCTTACCCTAATTCCCGAGGAGAGTCAAAAGAGAGAAAATAGTTAGAAAAAATGCAGGATCCTAACTAATGAAATATGCCTAATGCAACACATGCAATGTGCAATTAAAAGTCCGGCTACTAGCATAGCATATGAATTAATTTGATAGCGTGCAGTTTTAAACACGTTTTCAAAGAAGTATTTAAACGACAATGCTTGTTAAAATGAAGAGCCGAACCTTATGCATGCAAGGTACATGGATGCAAATCATGGAAAATACTAAACAAAATATGATGCTCTAAACTATTCATCATAAGCAAGTAAATAAAAGGGAGAAAGACGTGAGGTTGGAAGACATACATGCATTGTTACATATTTGCCCTCGCGCAGGAGGGTCCGAATGAATGAATTAGCTAAGCTACTTACCTAATCATTACAACTCCGAACTTAACTAACTATTCTAGCTAATTAAATTATTACAACACAATATTAATTATCCTAATTGATTAATTATAACACAAAATTAACTATCTACTTTAACTAACTAATTACATATTACAAGTTCACAAGTCAACGGGACCCGAGAAACGAGGGAAGGGCTTATGCATGCTCATGAATTTCTCTTCCCCCCCTCCCCCACCGAGAATGCCTCTGCACTGTTTTGCATCTCAACTTCTGCTCTGCTCTACTCTGCAAAAAAAAGTGGTACTGTTTGGCTGAAAAAGGTGGTCGGCAGGCCAGAAGTTGTGGCCGGCCGCCTACTAGTAGTGGCCTGCCGTACGGTAAAGATGGCTTGCCGGCCACTAATGTTAGGTTTCTCCTGCTGTAACAGAAAACAAACAGAGCACAAATAGAGCATTCTCAGGGGATGTTTGTCCACCCTGCCTCTCCTTGTCATCAGATAGCTCAAAGAAGGGGTAGGCTTGATTCGCAAACCATCAATCGACGCAAATTCATTGCATGATGACTTATGAACCAAGGGATATGATTTCAATAAATGCACAATTAAAGACTCGTGAACCTCTCCTCCTTATCATGCTATTAATCAAGAGAAGTGGTTGACATTGATTCTTGAACCGTTTTCATCACTAACAAGTATGAAACGACTCAAGGCTCAATGGGTTCAATTAACGTCTGATTGAACCCAAACCATTTTATTATCTTTCTCCATTTTAAGCCATTGATTACCCCTTTTAATTATCTTTCCATTCCTTAGTCATTTTAGTTCAAAAATGAAAGTTAAGTCCACTAAATGGAGAAGAGTGTTAAACAAGAAGTTGTTTTGGGCATGAGAGAGACGTAATGCCCCAGTAATGAACCTCCGAAGAGATTAAACCATTTAGCATTGTAGGGTCCCTTTATCAAGCTTAAACAACACTCGGTTGAAACAATTTTCAAAGAAATAAAAAGCCAAGAAATGAGGGAGGTTACAGAGGTAATTACATGTGAATACAAGTATGGAAACCAAGAAATAAATGGTATCAACTCAAATAGGTTGGTGTCTGATGCCTAAAACACCAAACCTATGAGGACCATTACATTACAAGCCAACTATGCAAAGCATAAATGAACTAAACACATAAAAACTGTTCTAAAATAAGCTAAAACAGTGCTGGAATTGAGATAAAAAAAAAAAAGTTAAAAGAGTAAACTAAAATAATAGAGAATTTAAGCTAGTAAACAAGCCAAAGGAGGGGTGGCTAACCCCTCCATTTTTGGGACTTCAAAACTACATTTTTAGCCTCTGAAAACCTTTGAAGATTAGTGGTAAAAAGTTCAAAAAAAGTTGATGAAGAGATGGAAACACAAGGGGAAAGGCTTAGGAGACGAGGTACAAAGAAAGGTGATTAACTTCTCTACCTTTAATAGCTTTAAACCACAATCTTCAGCCCATAAAAACAGTTGAAAAACAGCCTGAAAACAGTAAGAAAAGATAGAAAATAAGTAGTGCAAAGGAGCTAGTAGTTATACCTCTTGAAGCAAGGTAACTCTTTTATTAACAAATCCACAAGTTCTCACTCTCAAGGGCTGAGATTTGAGCCCAATAACCTTAGCAAGAAGAGCTAAATTTTTGGTTTAGGAAGTGTAGAGAGAGAGAGTGTGTAGGTTGCAAGATAGAGAGAGAGAGAGAGATTTTGAAGAATTTGAGCCTTTGGAATTTTTTCTAACCTAAATTCAAGAGGCATGGTCATTTATATATAGAAAAACATGTTACTCCCTCAGAAATATCTGTATATAGACAGCTGGTGCAGTGCATGCACTTGTGGGAACAGCTGGCAACAAATATCTGCAAAAAATCTGATTTTTCACACAAGTGGCCAGCCATACAGTATTAGTGGCCAGCAGGCCACTAGTGGGGACACTTGGCTAGCCAAT